ATATCTGTCCCGTTCTCCAGAACTTCATCTTCGGACTGTGTATTTTCCATCTTGCCATTCCTTTGCTTTTCTTCCAGTTGTCCCTTTAATTTTTTAATCTGAAGGACAGAAAATAATTATTAAAATCACTAAGAGAACTTGTGGCTCAAATTCACTCCAGCATTACAAAACAAATTATGTATTTTTTAAACATAAATCCCAAAAAATCTTCTGTTACAAAGTAACATCCTAGAAATTATTTTGGCAAATGACTCACAGTATTTTACACATCAGTGCTTATGTACAAGTTCAGGATCAAAACAATGAGTGAAAAATGACTGGTTTATTAGAAAAGCCATAAATCTCCTGCAGGCACATTCATGTAAAACATTCTCAAAAACTCCCAAAGCTGTGTTTGGTTGCGTGCGAGTCTCAAGGCCAAGGTCACTGAGCATAAATGAAAGCACAGAGTGTCCTGCAGGGCAGCAGATCAGCTGACATTTTCTGAATAAGCATTATAGCCACTATGGAATACCATGGTACCAGCAATAATTCCTTTAATTGCTCTTTACCCATCTGCAATTCCTCCAACAAACTTTTCCAAAAGGCCCATTTACCCACAGACCCAGCAAAGGGGAGGGCTTACTCTTGGAAAGAAAATTTGCTTCTACAATTTCTGAGCCACGCCTGGCTTCCCTTGGGCTTGGTCAATCTGAAGGATTATTATTCACAAATAAGAGGGTCATATCTTCTGCGTATCCTGAGTTAACACACGAGGGGAATGTTTTGGAGGAAGAACAGAGTGGCCAGCAAGGCAGCAAGTCCCCAGCAAGAGCAACCCGACCACGGCACTGCTGCTCTATACCTTGTGTTTGGGCTATTTTTGTTTCCTTAGTCCTTCACTTGCCCTGTGATTACCTGGTCTAGCAAGGACTCCCGTTCATCAATGAGCTTTTTCAGCCTGTCTGGAAGAGAAAAGGGAGAGTTCAGTGCGGACCGAGCCAGCGGCGCACGGGGAGCGCATCTGAGACACGAGGCTGGCCCGCTCAGGTTAGTGACTACTGATGGGGAGTTAGGGCACGTACCACAGGACACGAGGCCCAGCGGGGCTGGGAGGGGGCTGCAGCCAGGGCACTTATGGCATTCTCACAGAACATGCTTGTCCCAGCAGTAGCAGCAGCCAGCTGCATGCAAAGAGGCTAATCTTCTACGTTAGGTTAGCATGCAAGAACTCTAGGGTCAAGCACAACTGCAACACAAAATCTCACAGGTCTTGACAGTTTAACACAATGACAATACTGTAAACACCTATAATCACATTCTCAGCACTTTAACTCTTCCCTCTTTTACATGGCAGTGACATTTTAGCTCCAATATTATGACCAGAAAAAAACTTTTGCTCGTCAAATTATTTTTGTTTCGAACGCAGCAGTCTGGTATAACTTATTTTCTCTTCAGAGTCAATTCTCCAGGTCAGACATCAAGAGGCAATGGGCAATGTGCACCAACTGTTGTGCTACGTTTGGACTTGGAAGTGCAACAGATCAGCACATGGGTTTGTGCAGCCTTCATTAATAAAGTGCACTCTACAGAATGAGACAGCTGGAAAAAAGAACTACAAAGTAAGCAAACAAATCACTTCATTTTTTCTGTCCCCATTAAAGGCTGCAAAATGTGAAAGCACATTTTCTTACCACCCAAATGACCTAAATGATTAATTAACAAGCTCAGTTTGTTCAGGTACACCTCAGGCAGGAGTGCACTGCGACATCACATGGAAATACACTCCTTAGGAGAGGAGCTGTTGACCTCAGCTGGGTCTCACTGCAGGTTTGCTCAGCTAGCCCCCCTTGCCAGCAGTGCAGAGCTCAGGCTGTTCAGAGCTCAACTCCACAGCTGAGGTCTGGCCTGTTGATTAAATGGTTAAAACCAAAGGTCACTCAAGAAAAAGATCTTTTTGTAAACTTCAGGAAAGCAAGGTAAATTACACACAAGAGCCTGGTGGGCTTTTATCAGGTAAATTCTGTTGATAGACAGACTTAAATATTTTTGAAGAGCTTTAAAAATACCATTTCTTCTTTGTGGCACAACTCCTGAACAGGCCAAAGTCTTGTGGTTCTTCCTTTTTCCTTGTTAGCACATGCACTTAAGGGGAATCAAGAGTCTGTATTGAATCAAATCATGATGAAAACTGTTCTCCCAGTGGAAGTCCTTCTGTACAGCATACATGTGGAGTCCATTAATGTGGTATGTCATTCCCTGCTGGGAATACACACCCCCACACAGTCCCATTCCAGAGCATGGAATAAAACCTTTACCTTGGCTTTTGATGCAATACCCACATACAGATCTTAGCATGACATCCCAGTTCAGCAGATCTATGGATTAATTTTGAACCTCCTGAAGTCCTATTCTTTTTTTTCCCCTCCATTTGTAAGACACCCAACATTGTTACACCTGAGCACTGATATGAAAAAAAACAAAAAACAAAAAAACCAAACCCACTTCTTTTTTGTAAATACCACCCACAAGCAAAATTTCCGAGTATAAACCCCTTTAAAATGATAAAACTATTTCACAGATCTATATAGGAAGGAAAGAAAACTTAAGACAGAAATTCTGCAAAAGATGAAAGATATTGCAGAAAAATAAAGGTCAACGAGGAGAGCAAGAACAGCAAACAGGTTGGAGAAACTTGGGCTCAAGAGATTGTATTGGGATTTACAGGCCAGCAAAGACTGAGAAATGGAGTTCCAAGGACTGGAAAGAGAATGAGGACTGGTGCAGCAGGAAACCTTTAGTTCACTACAAAATGAGCCCAAACTTACTGAGTCCAAAAGGGCCAAGTACACATTTTGATCCTGAAAACAATGTAGTTGTGACTTCACAGCCCCTGCTGTGGGGTGAAAGCTGCCTGCCTGAAGAAGAGACACCTCTGCCAGCTTCCAGTGAGGAAGCACCCTGGCTTCCCCAAAGCCCTTTTCCTGCAAAGAGGATGCATTTTGGGGTGAACTTTCAAGTTTGGTCTCACCTTCAGCTCTCTCTGCCCTCATTATGGATATCTGTGCACCCCACTGGGGCATGCAAACAGCAGGGTTTACCAGATCAGGGAAAAAATGAGTTTGCTAAAATTGTCATTCACATAGAAGAAAAGTTTTCTGCCTGTAGAGATGAGGATCTCTTGGGTTTCACTTAATCTTAACCTCCCACATTAGCACAGAAAACTTACTCTGCAGGGTCACCTTAATTTTGCATTTTGAGATATTTTTCTAACAAATCCGAGGACCTTGAGAACAGGTGAGCAGGAAAGAACAGCTTATTGAATCAGGACAGGAAGCAGCTAATTAAAATTCTCATCCTTAACAGTCATTATCCTTATTCCACATAGAAAGATACTACAGTGAATAATGGGAGTGTGACATTCACCTCAGTTAACTCTGGAAAGGTGATTCCCAGGGTACTCACTGCACCAGTTCATGGCCTCCACACACCAGTTTAACAGAGGACTGAGCAGGAGATGGGGCCTGTGGGGGAGCAGGACACAGAGGGGTGAGCATGGTGCTGAGCAGTGCCTTCTGCCACAGTTTCTGCATCCAGTGACTGATCTCATTGCCTTGGCACTGTAGGTGACTCGAGGCATTGCTGCTCAGTGGCACCAGACATTCCCAAATCAGCCACAGATCCTCCATGTCTCTTTCCACTTGGAGGGGAGCATGGGATGGGAAGCAGCTGGTTTTACCTGCATGATTTACATGATGTGTGGCCCAGCAAGTAACAAACCCTGGTGTAAGTGAAAGGGGTAAACTGCTCTTGGAGGGTGGAAAGACATCCCATGGAATCCCAGCCCCAAGCAGCTATTCAGAACAGCCTGAAAGAATCCAGCTGTCAGAGCAGCTTGGGAAATACTCCCTCCTCAGATCTGTCAGTTTATTTTGGATGATGAGAAAATGCTTTCCTGTCTTTCTCAGAAGAGGGGCACTGCCAGGGACAGCACAGGATTTGGAAGACACTGCTTGCAGTACTGATTTTGAGGGGGACAGGAGGACTGTTCTTCTCTATAGTAAAGAAGATATTGGCCAAGACTTTTCACTATGTATTCCCCTTTTTTTTATCAAGTAAGTTTACTGAGATATTGCATTTGAAAGCATTTCAGGCTAGCTCTGATATGCACAAACCTGGACTACAGCATTTAAGTGCCACTTGGTGATGACCAGAAAACCCAGTGAGCATTTGGGGTTATTCTGGAAGACAGAAGTTTCATACTTGGGCCACATACTCATTTTCAACATTCCAGGATGGATTTCTGGCATACCAGCTACTCTGCACTGCCTCTCCATGTTCTTGCTCCCAGTTACACTGGGAGTGGGATCAAAGCTGGTACTTGGACAGGTAAGATTGGAGGAGTTTCTGCTCCTGTGACTTGGCTTTAAAAAGGATTTCTCTTAAAGATGCTGTGTCTTCTGAAGTGGAAAAACTAGATAAAATCGGAAATGAACTCATAAGAAATACAGGATATAATGGCATGTTGCCTAATTTAACTCTGATAGATCCATCCACAGTACAGGTGAAGCCTGGTAAGAACATTTAATGATCTGTTTAAATCTATGTAACAATTAAAACCCACTTCCAACACCAAACCATATATTACTGTTGAAGTATGGCAGAGCCAAATCTTTAAATAAACACTGCTACATGCTAATAAGAAATGCTTATAAGATCTATGACTTTTTGGATTAGCATCTAGTGTAAACCCTTAGGAACAGCTGCCAGTACTTACAGAAACCATGCTGGATCTGCTGTAAGTTGGAGAGAAGCCACATGAAAGGAGTTACAGGGTTACAGACCTGTTAGAGCTCTACAGTTAAGGTGCCATCACATATTCAAGGTGCTCAAACCCCGAGGCTGCCCAGTCCTAGGGAGATGGCTCAATAAATTGAACAAAAGCTGCAGAAAAATGGTGTTGAAATAATACAGTTTTAAATAACTCCTTGTGCAGGTTTAGAAACAGTGCTCTGGACAGGTACTTTAAAGTATAAAATACGTTTATTTAAATTATATACAGCAGTACATTTTGATATACATCTTCAAATTTTGCTCTGACAACTTTGTAACATCAACACAAATACAGCCTTCCATAGCCCACACCCCCCTCGATCTGCACTCCCCTGGGACATTCATTGCTTAACACTTCAAACGAATATTTATATATGCAAAACATGTTCTTCCTTCCCAAGCACTAGCAGAGATGCAAGAGGAAATACAGCAAGGGAGTGCAAGAGCCTAATCTATGCCAGCAATTCAAAGCAATCCAGCTTTTCCAAAAGGCACAGGGGGACTAGTACACAAAACAACAGTCATCTTTGGTCTGATATCCAGCAAGAGTTAAGACATGCAAAGTTATCTTCTTTCCAGAAGGAAAGAGATAAGATTTGTTTCAGAGATAAAAACATTCTTTCAGAATCATAGTTTGCAAAAAAATATATATATATATATAATGCAGTAAGCAAATGGAATTTTAAACAAAAATCTTCTTGGAAAAATAGATATTTTATATATTCATATCTAGACAGTACTTGATAGCAAACCTAAGCACACATTACAGTGTGTATTGACACTTTCTCTGGAAAAAAAATAAAAACCCCATGTGAGACATGGTGTAAAAGGCCTATTGTGGTGCAAAGTGCCTAGATGAAGTAAACATGTGTATATTTATTCCTTTCAGCAAGCTAAGACCTGCATGTTGCACTTCCTCCAAACTGTGTATTGCTCTTCCAAAGTGCTCAGACTAAGCAGATTCACAATGATCTAACTATATTTTGGAATACGACCATGTAAGAAATACACACAAAGTGGAATGAAAAGATATTTTTTCTTCATATTAAAAAAAAATAAGAGATTGGTTCATAGGCTTTAAGCATTCTGAAAGAAGTTTCACCATCAGTGTGGCTGATCTGCTGAGTTCCTTCATGAAGAGTTAATGTACTTGCTGTAGATCTAAGTACAAGTAAGCGTAATGTGCATCAAAGGCCCAATGTACATTCAAGATATTGATCAACTAGGCTAGAATAAAAAAAAAATCCTATAGAAATTCCTCAAGAGCAGCTATCCACACTAGAGGTACTTTAATTGCATAATAGTTTGAATAATCAAGTTGTGAAGCTTCCTCATTAGGTGATAAGCTTTCAACCTGAGACACAGCAAAACCAAACCCACTCACAATTTCTTGTGGCTGGGTACAACAGTGAATAACTTAGTACTTGCATCATTACCACATCCGTGCTGTATGCTGAGTTACCTACAAAGACAAAGCTCTAAGAGTATTCCAAGGTCTGATGTCTTGTGCAAAGTGCATCTTTGTGTCCTGGGACGGGTCACAGGGCATGGAACTCGTGCAGGCTTGAGATTCTGAACTCAGGAGATTGTACAGTCATCTCTGGATCTGCCCTTACTCCTTTTACCAACCTGCAAATCCTCCCTGCTTTCAGCCCTCTTAATGAAAGCACTTTCCAAATCCTGTTCCAAAACATCTCGATCCTGTAATTTTCCCACTTTACTACAATCTGATACTTTGATTTCATCTTCCTCCACATCAGCCTCCTCATCAGCTTTTCCCAACGCTTTCCCTTGCAAGCACCCTGTTTCTTCAGGCTCATCTTTTTTATGCTGCAGGACTTCACCTTTGGTCAAGGCATCTTTGGTTTCCATTTTGTCTGTTCCCTCTCCAGTTTCGTCTGTGTGGGCAGTTTTTCCAACAGCACAATTTCCTCCATCGTCCTCTTCTGCCTGTGCATCAGCTTTCTCTTCATCACAATTTTCATCAGATTCTAGTATTTGATTTGACTCTTCATCAAAATCAAATGCATCACCATCATCTTCCACGATTTCCTCTGCTTGGTCCTCCAGTGTCACTTGTTCACTAATGTCATCCTGCACAGGTTTCTGTGGCAGAGAATTATTTGCACCTTCCTCCACTTTAACTTGTTCACTAATGTTTTCATCCTGCACAGGTTTCTGTGCCAGGGCATTATTTGCACCTTCCTCAGAAGCAAATTCCCCACCAGGGTGGTGTGCAAGCTCTACCTCTTGCTCATTTTCTTTCAGTGTTTCTTTACTGGCTTTGTTTTCAGTAGTTACAGTGACACCTACACCTGACTCCTCCTCAGATTCACCTTCTGCTTCTTTAACCACCTTCTGCACTTCACCCTCTAAAGGAACATTTTTCTCTCCCTCTGTACCATCTGCTTTTTCTTCACTACACTGACTTGATTGAACCTCTGCCTTTGGATTCAAGTCTTCTACCAATTCTGTCCTACTTTCCTGTCCTTCCCCAGCCTCATCCCCTGTCTCCAATTCTGACTCCTTCACTTCATCATCTGAGAGACTCGGGTCTAAATGGGTTTCCTGAGTGATCACCTCTCCCACAACCTCTGTTCCTGGCTGTGCCTCCTGCAGCTCACCTCCCTGTCCCTCGGGAATGCAGCCTCCTGCCTCCACAGATGCCACACCTTGCTCGCCTGTTTCAGCAGAACCTGAACAATTCTCCAGCTCTTCCATCAATTCTTCCTTCTGTCCATCCTTCTCAGCTGTAGCAGCTTCATCTTCAGTTTTACCTTGTGTACTTGGTTCCTCTGGGGATGCTGAAGCACTGTCCTCTGAAGAAGCTGGTTGGATGAATGCCTGATGTTCTCCACCTTCCTTTCCAAATGGCTGTGCTGGGACATCCCTTTCACATAGCTCTGTCTCCTCCAAACCCACAGACTCAGTTTCCCTTGGCTGACCCTGAACAGTGTTCCCAACCTCATCTTCTTCTTCAGCTCTGTCACCTGCTGTTTTATCACTTGTCCCATCACTGCAGTTAACAAGCTTTTCCTCCAAGACATTTGCAACCTTGTTTTCAGCACTTTCTTCTGAGTGCTGGGGTTCCTCTGGAGTGGAACTCTCCACATTTCCCTCTTCCCTAAGCAGGCCTGCCGCTGCTCCCTCAGGTAGCCCTGCCTGGTTAGAAACCAACTCACTGCTCTCACTTGTACTGTCAGATCCTTCATCCATTTCATCATCACTCAGGGCATGGCTGGTTTCAACATCCTCTTGTTCTTCCTGGTCAGGTGCAGCTTCTCCCAGCTCCTGCTCTGTACCTGAGTCACAAAACATTTCCTGAGGAGTCTCAAAAATCGGGTGGCCTTGCAGAGAGCCCAGCTCCAGGTTCTCATTTGTCCTTGCACTCAAGTCATGGTGTTCAGCCTCTGTACTCTCAGGCTGCTGGACTGCTGTGCCCCTGGACCCTGTGACCTTTCTCAGGCCATCTGTGTCACTGTCACTGATTGAAGAAGTGCTCCCTGACACAGGTTCTGTGAGGCTTTGGGCTTGCTCTGCAAACCTACTCTCTGGTAACATCACTGCTGGCAGGGCATCCCGTTCTTCAACCATTTGTTCTGCCTTTGCATTTTCAGCAGCATGCAATGTCTGTACTTCCTCCTCCTCAGACTCCTCTTTGTGTTCCTCATGCTCAGTATTCTGCAAGATTTCTCTTTTCCCCACATCCTCCAAAATCTCATTTTTCATCTCCACTTCATTGGCTTTGCCTAAAAGACCATTGAGAAAGTTGAGGGGGCCACACCACAGCACTTACCTCCCCACTCAAAACCCGAAAGACAGAATGAGAACAGGTTAATAAAAGATCAGCTTTTGCCAATTTTGTGAGGCAAAGCAGCGATTGTATTAGTAAGGATCCAGGGGGTTTGATCAGTGAAACTCACCACCACCCTCTCAAAGCAAGAAGTCTCAGGTGCTGGCTCGTGTTTTTGTAAGGGAGGAGATTTTTGCTCTTGGCTGTGGGAATGACAGCTCTCGTAGAGGAGATCAGCTGGTTGAAGCAGTGCAATTTAACAGCAATACTTGCAGATGTACCTCTAAGGACTGCTTTTCCTCAGCAATTTTCTCTGCAACCTTAACCCTGACATCCCTCTATCCGTGCAGGAGTCTGATGCCATTACAATGGAATTGTGAAGGATTATTCAGTAATATTTTGCTTTTAAAATCTCAAGACAGGCATCATCAGTGCCTGATGACAGACACTGAATGTAAAATCTGATTGGCAAGCGAATGGTTTGGCTGCTCAGAATCCCAACACAGATCAAAGCTCAGGTAATCTGTGTCCCTTATTTCAGCCACCCAAAGGGGTGGGGACTTCTATGGTTTTTTGAAGTTTATTTTTGTTGTAACACTTTTCCTTCAATTTATATTTAAAAGCAACAGATATTAAAACAAAAGTGTTTGTTGTTAGTTTTTGGGTCTATGCTGTACCTATTCTGAAAAAAAAACCCCAGGATTAGGAGATGTAGAAAACATATTACATTTAAAAATACACCCTTACCTTGGTTTTTGGTGTTCCACATTGTTTCCACACAGAAACTGAGTGAAGAAAAAGCAGCCAAAAGCTCAAAGCAAAAGAACCTGCACTTGCAACAACTGGCTGCCTGCAGCTATTTATTAGTATGTTCATGTAGAACCAAAAAAAAAAAAAAATCCAACAAAGCAAAAATATTACTTTACTTCCTTACACTGATACAATAGTTCTCTAATGAGTTCTCTAATAAGTTCACCACATAAAAGCATAAAGAGGTTTTGCCAACCAGATTTCTCCTTCCTAACGCTGTCCACTTCAATTACATCCTTTGAATTTAAGTGTCAATGTGACAAGTAAAAACACAGAAGTGTTATTTTTAAGTGTTCAATAGCACAGGAGCAAAGAATTTATCCTTTGGTGTGCTTTGGCAGAGCCCAGCACTGTTGTTCAAGCAGACACCTCTCAGGGATATCAATGAACCAACATACAAGCTCTTTATAGAAAACTAAAATGCCTTTTTTTTCCTGATTATTTAAGGTATGTGCTGAAAAATACTGAGCAGCAGTAGGATTATCCTGGGACAATTTTCCAGTTCAGGGTTTAAATGGCGATGTGAATGACTGCTACTTATCTGCAATGTCCTATTTGCATTCCCATCCTTTGTCACCTTGCAGGGGAAGTGAAGTCTGCCTCTGGAGGAGACTGCAGGACACACTGGGAGTGATAATCAACATGAAGCAGGGAAATGCACAGGGAGTGACTGGACAAGGAGCATGCTGCGTGGTGTTAATCATCCCACTATCAACTGCCCCGTCCAAGCAAAGGTGGATGAATGAAGGACAGACAGGCAGGAGGGGCTGAGAGGACACACAGCACTTACCTAGCATGCCCTCCCCTCCTGTCTTTAATGCCTGAGTGGTGCCTGGGGCAGTTCGGGAAGAATCCAAGTGTCCTTCGTTATCCAGAATGTCTGATGTGTCCCCGTTGGTGGCTACATCAGTGTCTGGGATTATTCCATGTTTCTGTGGGAAGCAAAAGCAATGCTTTAGAGCCTGCTGCTTGGAAAGGGAAGGACTGTCAAGAGCTCTTGTCCAAGATACTCTGAATAAACAATTGCTTCAATCATTCCATTAAACGTGGCTGGGAGTCAGGAAGGAGAACAGATATTGCAGTTCTCAGTTCAGCCATCCTGACAGAAAGAATGTGATTCCAGCTCTTTTTTTTTTTTTTTAAACATAAATCTGCTGCATAAGATGTTCCTCAGAGAAGTGTCTCCTACAAAAACAACTTCTTTATACTCCAGTCTACACTAAGAACTCACAATCAATAGTAGGGGAAAGGACTTCATATAGAAAATCCCTGAAATGGCAATTTATAGGCAACATGAAAATAGAGCTACTGCTGCTGAGCTAGACCTAATTTTTCTGCCCAAATGTACAAGGGTAAAGGGTCAGCAGATGAATATAAATATATTTTATTCCTCTTGCATACCTTCAGTTGCTCCTTCAGCACAACCACTTCGTCTCTAAGGTCATCCCGCTCACTCCTTATGGAATCAAAGAAATCTTTCTGCCTCTCTAGTGCCTGAGTTCCCAACACAGACAGAGGGCGAGGAGATGTGAAGAAAGGAAGGGAGACAAGTAAAGGCCATGAAAAGCAAATGTAGACAAGAATGAGCAGATTTAAGATATTCAGGGGATGGAAGGGGGACAGATGAAAAAGGTCGATTTTACAGATTATAGGACTGAGTTTGCATACAGAGAGAGAAGCCTCAAATCCAAGAAAGGCACAGCTTCCTCAATAACCAAGAATTCCTGCCAAAGACATTCAGAGCCCAATTCTTCACTGGGGACCCTTCAAATGAGGGCCCACTTTCTATTCTTATCTGCTAGACAAGCTGATCCAAACCCACATTGCTTTAGCATGCACACTGAAGACTCCATGTCATTCCCACATGTTAATGGAAGGGCATGGAAGTAGGCCCACTGGATTTCAGGAGTCTTTTTATTTCACATTTTAATTAATTTGAAAGCTGCCATTAAGTCATCCTTAGTCTGGGATGCACCATGTGCAAATGCATATTTTGCTACTGAACTCCCCCCTCCCAGTATTTAAGTACAAATAGAACAATTTTTTAAAAATTAGACAATTTTCAGTTTCAAGCTGCTACAAATTATTGGACATCACAAACATGGGCAAGCTGCCAGATTTCTTTCTCCTACTCTCTTCAGGAAGCCTTTCAGTGTTCAGCTGGAAAAGAAAACCAGAGTGGGTTTCCATGTGGCTTTGATAAGAGGTGGTGGGAAGGGATGAGAAGCAAGGGAGACTTTCATCCCAACATCCTATAAATAACTCCATTACCTCTTTATCCCACTCCAGTTTCTGCTCAGTCTGCAGATCAAATCTGAATAAGAGAAAACTCAGTGCTGATGGAATTGCATTATAAATAGCACTTCCTTTCCCCACATGGCAAATGCAAATGGTGCAGCACAGCAAATCAATTGCCCTTGGTTTGAAAGCAGACCAGCTGCTAGGTTTTCCTTGGATTTTAAGGTACTACTGGGCAAAGACAACACTTTTTGCTATTTGCTACTTCACTGGCAACATCATAGGACAGCCACAGCAAGCAAAGGCACTACAGAGGGGTTTTACAAAAGCAGGATCAGTGTCACTTTGAACACATTGCAGGAGTTGACAAGTCCTACCCCTATTTTTTTGTCTTTCCACTCTATTGTCTCCTGAAGATCAGAAATTTCCCTGACATAGCTCTGCTGTTTCTGCTGCAGCTGTTGGATTTCCTGAGGGGCAGGAGCAAAACAAGAAGACAGAAAGCAGGTAACAGGTTAACAAGGAAGGCCAAGACTGCAGTGATGCCAAAGAATGGAAAAAGTCAGGTGCTAAAGTAAATGAGTATCTACAATGCACAGTTCCTGACATCCCAACTGAACACAATCCTGAAGACAATCTTGTTATCCACAACATGACTTAAAACAAGTTACACAGTTCTGTTATTTTCCTCTGCATCTCCACAAACAGCTGTCCAAAATGCAATACTTAGGAAGAATAAGGTAATAATTAGGAAAGTTTTCTTCGCATTAGTCAGCTCTGAACCTGTTTGGCCTGAAACACTAACATTTCTTCTGGTGAGAAACTTGAATAGGGAATAAAATTCTCCATGCCTCACATTCTCCACTCTACTGCTACTTGGGAATGTACCAAAGAAGCCATTAAAAGAAAAAAACAGTTACTTACTGCAAGCATTTCTTCTCTCTGCTTCAAAGCCTCTTTGATTTCCATGAACTGAAACTGCAGTATGCTATGAGCGTGCTTCTCCCTCTCAAATTCCTGTGAATAATGAAATATTCACAAGATTAATATTAATCAAAAATAGCATCCCATCAAAAAGAGGAAAATAAACCCAAACACAAAGAAAACGCTTACTGCAATGTAATTCTTGAATATCCCCCTAATCACAATCCCACAAGAGTGCAATTTTTAACGAGTTTGTCCTTTTTCCAAGATGCTATTATTGCACCAAATATAGAAGTGATAGACATCATTTAGCCATTTCATAAGCTGAGCAGCAGGCTGAAGAGCTTTTACACTCCAGTCCTTCAGACTGCACAGATGAATGGATGGAAATTTAACCCACTCTTCCCACATGGCCACGTACTGAAAGTTAGCTGGACTTTAAAATAAGAAGAATAAAACCCACACAGTATCTTTCAGGAACTGTGTTTTGAAGTGGGGTGTAGTCAAATGCCCCAAGCTACAAGAAGGCAGTTCTGAAAACATAAGCCCCAGTTTTATTATTTGACACCAAATCACTGTCAGCTGCTGAATTAATGTAAAATTTAATTTAACATTTAACCATGAACTGTCTGAACTGCACAACTCTCCACAGGCTGCCTGGAGACACCTTTGTGTGCAAAACTGCTCCAGAGGAGTCCCTATGGACACACCCTATGAATTTACTTTAGAGATGGAATATAAAAGGAGATGTGATAATATCAATATAGCCTTTACCAGCCAGAACACTTCTCCCCTTCTTCAGAAATGGCTTAGGGAAAATTCTCATTTGTATGATCTTAAGTACACAACAAATTGGTATTTCACTCAATACTAATTAAACCAGTAATTCAAAATATTGAATAATAATTTAGCTGCCTTCTCCCAAAGCTCTCTACCCCCCTCCAAATCTCTCCCTGTTTTTTCCCATGCCAGAGCTCTTTACATACTTTACTTTTCTCTTCATATTGCCTCCTGGATTCTGCCAGCTGTTCCTCTAACTCTAAGAGCGCATCCTTCAGGGTGTCCACCTGGTACATGAAATTGGTTTTCTCATTGTCCAGCTGAGCATTTGACACCATAGCCTTCTTGTATTTCTCCTCAACTTCAGCTAGAGAGTCCTGCAGAGAATAAGCAACCCTGGTCAGAGTCAGAAATGAAGGAGGACACTTTGCCAACCGAGACCTTCAGTGAGGAAATAAAGGACCAAAGCACAAGTCTGCCTATGGAAAGCAGCATGAATCCTGTGCTGGAGGCTTCCCAGCTGTCCCAAGATGAGGAAAACCTGCTGTGTCCCCACCAGGTTTGTGCTCCCAAGCAATCAGCCTTACCTCAGCACGGATCCAACGCTTCCTGTGCTCTGCTGCTTCAGCTCCTGCCTTGCCGCTTTTCCTGCTTCTCCCTCCTCCCCCTGCCCCTGCACACTGGCAGCTCTAAGCTGCTGCTGGAGATGGCAAGTTGGGATTTTTTTTTTTTTTAAAGGTGAACTGGCCTTGATTTAGGATCACTTTGGATGATCTGAGACCTGAAATCAAGGCAGATTAACACCCACTCCATACTAATTTCAGAGATCCCTGCTGCCAGGGAACCCTTAAATACTGACTCAGGATTCACTGTGATACAGAAAGCTGCAGCTTTTGTGACCTGATGTGTGATTTCCCATTAGGTTTCCTATATCACATCCCTTTTTTACGAATTTACTCTCTAAGATACCATTCCCAGTGTCTTGAAAACCCCTTCTCTCAGCTTGAACTGAATATAAGATACTGAGTATAACAACAAACGATGGTAAAATAAAGATTAGCATAATTTTTCATTTATGCAGACAAAGTTTGCAGTACTTGATTTTAATAAAGAAATAAAAGAGTTATATAAACAAAGGGTTATATAAACAAAGGAGTGTAAATGTGCAAACAAGGAGAGGACACGTGTCAACATTTTAGTTTACGGATCAAACAATTTCTCTTGGAAATTGTGTAATTTTAATTATTACTTGTGTAATTTTAAGTATTTCAACTGAAGTAGGGGTGAGTTTCATATACTTCCTTTTTCAGCTGATAACAGAACTAAGGATGACAGTGGCAAAGTCTAAACTGGCTTAATTGACATCTCTATTAACAAATGAGAAAATTTGTCTTTTAGGACATGAATTTGTCCAGTTTCAAATGCTTAACTGTGTTTTGGGGCACTTTCCAGCTCCAGATGAGAAATATCAAGCACAGGAAAGCCACCAGGATTTGGAAAGCTCAGAAAGGAGCTGGAAAGGAAGTATATGCAAGGAAGAAGTTAAGGATGTTCTGCTCCACTCCTTCAGCATGCCACGTTTTGGTGTCTTAGCATCAAACAGTGCAGATTAGGTCCAAATCACCCCTAAAGGCAGTCTAAGGCACATGGATTGAAACATTTTTATGCAGTGTGATTATTTTGCTCTATCTGCTACTCAGTGACCAGAAGAAAACCCAAATTTTACCAAAAAAGGCCCTAACTACTCTGTTTCCATTGAAAACTCAATTAAGATGGCAACACCTTCATCAGTCAGCACTGAGCTGATGACACAATCAGCAATTAATGCTGGCAAATGTTGAATTTATCTATTTGCCTTTTCCAAAAAGCCACAGCTCGTGTCACTGCTCACTTTGGAGGTGGGTAGTACATGGATGTACAAGCTGGTTGTTGTACTTATAAACAAAATACATTTTGTTTCTACAAAATGTATTTATGGCTTCACGGAAGCAGTAAGAGCTTCAGCATTCCTTCTTCATGTAATAGGCTTTGATAAATGGAGTTTTGTTGCAAGAATTGTTTAAGGGTGTCTTCTGTCATCTAAAGATGAAAGCAAAATGACACCTCACATTAGAAAAATAAAACCAGACAAGGTTCTAAACTCATATTTGTTTTTAGTACTGTAGGAGATGAGTTCTAGTTCATCTCCCAATACTGGAAGGTTTCCTGGATTAGGAAACAATATAAAAAAACCCCCAAATAATTTTAATTTGCTAGCAAAACAAAGACCTCCTCAAACCAGCAAAGACAAGGTGCAGTAGCAACCAGCAGCCTTTCAGGGCACACCTGGGAGCATTTCTCACCACAACCCCCCCAGTCAGAACAGTCTGCCCGTTAATGAGACACTGCACACAGTTCCCAGGAGAACAGCATGCAAGGGTAGCTCTGGGCTCACACTGGGGCCAGGGGTAATGCTCACACACCAGTACCTTCAGTTCTTTCAGCCCCTGCATGTATTTGCCTTCTACATCCTGAATCTGGTCCTTTAACTCATAGATGTCCTGAGGGAGATGGCGAGAAAGGTCAGTGACACCACGGGGCAGGGTGCAGCTGGGAGGGACAAGCAGTGCTCAAGGAGCTGCTCCCACACACCTTAAGGGCTCTGACCCTAAGCTGAGGTCTTGCCAGACAACCAAATTTCATGGTCAGGGGGGTTTGGGCTAATTCTGCTTCTCTTGGCTGGAAAAACCAGAATCTTCAGCGTTAAGGACGAGGCGCAGGCCCAGGTTCAAAGGCTCTGGCAATCCCAGCCCTCCTCTGTCCCTTTCAGTGACAGTCACCCTCTGTCCCAGGCTCTCTCCTCTGCTCTCCAGGAGTGCAGCGTGTCATCTCCACCCTCCTCCCATTCCCTGTTTCAGGCTGGGAGGTGCCTTTTACAACCGGTCCCATCTGAGAGACATCTCCAGCAAAGCTTCTCTTTCCAGCACCCGATTCACTGCCCCAGCTCCTTCCTGGGGAAGGAGCCTGAAGGATATTCCCTAATTTCTTCTGGGTTAAGCATCCCTCACCTTGATTTCCCTGATGGATGCCTCTGTGTCAGCTGAGATGGACGTGTCCCCACTGCCTCTCCGTGAAGATGTCCCTCCCAGAGAAGCCAAGGTAGCTGCTGATAAACTTGAGACAGTTCGTGCTCCCTACAATCACACACAGATAAACTGCTCAGAACTTTCTTTTCCACATAAATTATGGGTTTGTAGCTTTTCCCTTTTCTTTTTTTTTCTTCATACACACATTACACCAATCCTTGCAGTTCTAAATTATGCGCTTTTGATTAAAATCAAGCTTTCCAAGAAGTAAAAAATCAAAATCAAGATTTAACAGGGGAAACTACGAGAAATGGCAGATCAGAAGTATTTAAATAATACTGCAACAGGAGTTTGCATAATTTAGCTTCTAACTGTTCCTTCTTAAGTGGAGAAAGTCTTTAGGGGCTAGTATCAGCCTGCCAGACATTTTCAAAACTTGTAATAATACATTCTGTGGAAGGTTTGGAAGCTCCCCTCCTTTGTGGATATTTATTTACTCTGCAGGAGTGGCCACATGAACTGTTTGACTGTACTTAGGGTTAATGTAGTAGCCTCCTCTTTTATGATGATTTATTTATTTTTACATAAATAACTTAAGTCTCATTACTAAGATCTAATAAACACACGCAGTGTTTGTGTGGCTTAGCCTAAAGCAGTTTCAGCCAACTGCTGTTGAAGGTCAGCTACTTAACATTGAGTAAGGAGGGGCTGAAAAGTTCATCTTCAAAAATGCTGTAGCAGAAGGCTCCGGAAATTCAAATTTTTGCCTCACAATGGATTTTATAGGAGACTTCTGTGCACTCATGGCAAGCTGTACCCACCGAAAAGAATGAACAAAGCACTATTGTCAGAACAATTGATAAGATCTTTCTTACCTTCTCAAAGTCTTTTTCTGGCCTTTCCTCAATCTGTAAAAGAGAGGTTGAGAAGGAGTCATTAATAGAATCAATAAAGGGTAAAAGCAAGCAGTAACATACCAGAAATGCCACCACATCCTCCCTGTCCCAAAAAGCAAGGTACCAAGCTAGACTTGAAATCTAAAGCTTCAAACCTGTGGTTAATACTCCCCTGTCAAGACAAGCAACTGCAACTTCAAGCAAAGATCCTAGACTACAAAACTGACCCTCAAATCAAAATTCAGGGGTCAGTCCAAAGTCTAAATAAATGGCTCTTTTAGGGTTTCAATATTTCACTGCAATTTATTAAAGATAGGTCCTGTACCAAAACTAGTCTAGAAGAATCCAAATAGTGAGAAAAATTACCATGGATGCAGACAAGGGAAAGGTTTAAAAGTTAGAGAGTTTTCTAAGTGTAAAAAGGACTGAATGAAATTACAAACTCAGCAGAACTCAACAAAACCTGAATTCTTCTTGGGACATTCAGCACAGTCTAGTTGGTTTCCCAAAGGATTCCTAGAAAAATTAATGTCTTCCCCAGACCAAGAAGAGCCTAATTGCCAAGGGGAATAGTGTTTTTGAAACTAATGGAAAAACAATCAGGACAGATCTGATTCAGGGGAAAGCAGGGCATAATTGAGGTTAAGTTGATAATTTCCATTGAAAACACACTCAGAGCCTACATCTCTTCCTAATCAGTACACATTTGGCACAGTTGTTTGGAACTTTTTTTCTTTTATTACATAGAACAATATAGGGATAATCTAACTCCTTATTCTTCATATTACTATGTAACCCTATTTAAAAAAACCCCAGAACTGTGAGGTACCTGTTACAAATCAGCTTTTTACACTGACATCTCACAGCTAAAATTCCCTAGGAATTAGCATTCAGAAAACTTAAGTCTGAGGCTTCAAAGTAAAATAAGCCAGACTTAAAGTACTATATCTAAACTTGCAAAGACACTGAATAGGTAAAATATTTAGGGAAAAGCCTCTCAAATCTCTGAATTTGGAAGCAATAAGAGAGGGTCATTAATGAAGGCAGACAATTTAGCCCAGACCAAGAACAAGATGGACTGAATTGTGCAAACAGCTTTTTATTTTCATGCCAGACAGCTCCAAGTGCTGGATTTGGCAGCCTTCTAGTGTGGCCAAACACTGTGTTGTTGTTTATCAAGACAGCTGTGGCAGTGTCAATAATGGCATGTGACAAAAGATTGGTGTGTCCACACACATGTACCTCTGGAAATCTGCGAACAGCCTTTGCAAAATCTGTCCTACAGGGCACAACTCAAAACACTTATTTTCCTCCAGACATTTGCACAATGGCCTCAATTTTCTGGAACAAAGTGCAAACCCAGTTTTTAGGAAAATCAAGAAGGGAGCAAATATTGATATTGTTTTAATGATGCATAGCACGAGTCAAATAGAAGCTTGCATTTACAGAGGGGAATGTTGAAGACAACGTGGTGAGAGGCACGACTACAGTGAGTGTTTCTACTCAGAGCACTCCTAACCACACCTGTGAAGCCTGCTACACCTTGCTTGCAAAACTATCTTAAATAATGACTCTGATGGGGCATAATCTCTAATAATGAAGGCTATTAAGTAACATCTAAAATTGAGCTGCTTAAAGAAACAAACCAGATTTCATCTTCATCTTTCATCCATTCAGTGCCATGAATGCCATACTTAGAGCAGTTTCTCCTCAAAACCAGTAACTATCCCTAACAATTAATTTAAATATTAACACTTAAAAACTCCATCAGTTTCGAGAAAAGCCAGTTCTTTACACCAAAATAACATCCTTACAATATACAGATGCCTCCTGCTACACAACACTTTTCTAAGCAAAAAGTCAGGCTGAAACAAGCAGCGTTTAATTTTATGGTTACAGGGCAGAGATACACCAAAATCTGTCTTGTACAAAGAGAGAAACCTACTTTAGATTAATATTTTATACAGCTTTCATCGTGCTCATGTTTAGATTAATGAATTCACAGTACCCTTTAAAAAGATAAATTTTTCCTAAAGAAATCAGCCACCAGAGGGACCTCCAGGTTTCCAGCCTTCCCCCAAAGCCTCTGGCAGTTGATTCAGCAATATATGAGACAGAGAAAGGTCAGGAGAGAAATGTTTATGTTTATTTGAAGTAGTACAGAATTCTTGCCCCAAACACTTAGCTTCTGTATTAGCATTCAGTCAAGAACACTGCAATTGTTAAATAGGCTAAAAAGAACTCCTCCACCTTCACATGCCCCCAGCACAGCCCTTCATAAAAATATCCTGGCTTTGGGACTTTTCCATCCACAAACACAAAGGACTGACAGAATACTTGCCAGAAAAGGAGATTTAAAGAGGGATTCACCTAATGGTAACCTTTAATTTACACAACACTACCATTTCTCATTTGCACAAGGGTATGGGTCTGTCTCTAATCACGGATTATCTTCCTCTCCACCAACAACTGGGGCAATTTCTACTTCAGTGCATAAAAAGCAGGAAAAGGAAGCAATTTTCTGAGGAACTCCAGCACGCACATCTTTGTTTTGGCTGCTCTCTGCAAAATAAGTGCAGTGGGATCAGAGTTCAGCCTCTTCTGACAGCAATTTCGGAATAAATCCAGAGCCACATTACAAAAATGTCAGCAATATCAGAGCTCACCACAGCTGGAAACATAACGTGAGCAAGATCACCCCACAAGCCTTTATATGGCTAAAGTGCCAGTTTTCCATAGATTAAAAGGATTAACTCTTTTAGAGTGAAGCTCTTTGCCACCAGTGGAGTGTCCAGACCAAAATTAGTTCCTGCAGCACTGCCAGAGAGCATCCAACCAAACACCTACTGCAAGTACAGGGATCTTGAATTCAATGAAAGACCAGGACTGAGGCACAGTTTCCAGCTTCCAGGCTCCTGAACAAGGCCAGGGAAGGGAAGACTGGAATTCTTCTGTCTGTGCCATGTCCCATGCTCGGGTTATCAGACCAGCTTCAGTGTCCAGTCCGTGGCTGTCCCTGCTCAGCTCTGGCTCAGATCTTACACTTAGCTCAACTTCCTCACGAAAGCAAGGGGGATTTTTGGTGACAAATCAAATTAAGATCATTTCCTGTCCTTAAAGTAGCACAGCACAGCTTGAAATGGAAATACGGCCCACAGCAGAGAAAAATTGTTAGGCTAGAGCTGAACACAGGATGGTACCTACAAACCCTGGAATTAAGAGGAAGAAAAGAGGTACTGCAGTCAGTACAGCCCCTCCAACAACCCCCATCTTACCTGTCTGATCAGCTGGGCTGGGGCAGGCAGTAACAGAGTTCCTGCTGCTCCTCTGAGAGCCACCTGAGCTCCAGCAATTAGCAACAAGCCTTTCCAAGTCAGCAGGGGAAAACCACTGCTGAAATTTGTCAGGTCTGAGGAGGGTTTGTGAGAAGAATCCTCTCTCAGGAATGAGTGCTATGCCGAACGTCACTGCCTAAACAAACTTATCAGCCCCAGAAATGCAAGTTAGCACTGCAGCAAATCCTCACTCCAGAGGGGCCCAAAGCACATCCAGACTGTCAGAGGCAGGGCTAGGATACAACCTACCCTAAACCTGCAGGCAGAGAGAAGGCAAAGCTTCATAAGTGCCTCCACCACAATTAAGTCTGTCAGCGTCTTCATTTTATTTCTGGTGAGAGCACAGTAAGTGTCTGCCAGTGAGAAAAGGTGCTCACAGCTGGGCACTGGGGTGTGCCCTGGATGCAGGGACACACTGGGGAGTGAGAGCCCGCAGAGCAGCAGGGATCTGGAAGTCCTGGTCCGTGGCCAGTTGGATGTGAGTCAGCAGTGCCTGGAGCCAGGAGGGACATCCCTGTCCTGGGGGATCACCCTAGCAGTGCCAGCCAGGCTGGGGAGGGGATTGTTCTGTCTGCTCTGGCCTGGGGCAGCCTCACCTCCAGTGCTGGGGGCAGTTTTAGATAAGATCTAAAGCTGTTAGAGAGCCTCCAAAGGAGGGACAGAAGATAGGGACGGGGCTGCAGGGCTGTACAAGGAGCAGCTGAGGGCAGCAGGTTTGTTCAGCTGGAGCAGAGGAGAGGGAGGGCAGAGCTCAGCATGGCTGACATCCTCCTCCCCTGGGGCAGCTCCAGCCTCTGCTCCCTGTGACAGGGACAGAACCCAGGGAATGGCTGGAGCTGTGTCAGGGCAAGCTCAGGCTGGAGCTCAGGGAAAGGTTCTGCCCCCAGAGGTGCTGGCACTGCCCAGGCTCCCCAGGGAACAGGCACAGCCCCAGGCTGCCAGTGGACAACACTCCCGGGATGCACAGGGTGGGATTGCTGGGGTGTCTGTGCAGGGCTTGGATTGATGATCACTGTGGGTCCCTTCCAGCTCAGAATATTCTACAGCTCTGTGTGTGCTCAGGCTGAACTCTCACTGCTCGTGTTGCTGCCTGAGGCTCCACAAGAAGGGAACGGCAGGATGAACCATCATCATCATCATCCCAGCATAGCAAAACCTGCCCTCTCCTCTTGTTTTGCCTGCTTTGCCTTAGAGAGCCTTCAGACAAATACTATTGCATCCTGAGCCTGTTTCAGATTTAGAAATAATTGCTTTTCACTAGTAGCTTCTTGATTTAGAAAAGAAAAATAACACCACTCCTGCAATTCATATAAAAAGTCCAGCTCTGCCAAAACATGCTGAGAGCTCAGGCCCACCTGTACAGAAATATCTGATGTTTGCTCTCAGTAGTGTTAAGATCTGTACTTTGTGTGAGGATGGTTTAATATTAAACAACATATTTGCATATCTGCAGTAACTGCAAGGACAGCAGATAATCGCCAGTGGGATAACATGAAAAATGTTCAAGAAAAATAAACAAACAGCAAACTTCATTCAGATATAGTGAAATCTTAAAATAGCTACAAAGATAAATATTCACACATTGTGTTTAAGTGTCTTTCTGCCTTTGACTGTATTACCAACATGGCAACACAAATGAGAACATGAACTAGCAAAGCTGTGCACAGCAGGAAAACCACTGCAGGGAAACTACTGCTGCTTTTTGCTCACTGTTCAGTGAACAGAGATAGGAGGGGGAAACAAAACTCTGAGAAAAAAATTTCAGAGCTGCAGTGGCAAGCTATTGTATGCTTTAATTTAGTAAGTTCCATGGAATCATTCTCTACTCTCAAGTACCTGACTAAAAACTCTACAAGAAGACTTTGAAGGTTGTCAGTAAAAGTGATCCCTCCCTCTGAGCTACAGGAAAAGCAATGTCTGTTTAATGCAGGAAAAAAATATTATATATATATGACCCTGTGTAGCAATGAGAACTTTCAGGATCAGCTGGACTCACTATGACATTAACTCTGCTCTCCTTCAAGGTGACAGAGACAAGGGAAGCTCTTCACAGCGGGCAGTAAACCACTAATTAAAGCAAAGAAAGGTAATTTAAGGAGTGCCTGCTGGCTCCCTGCAGAGCAGACTCAGCTTGGTGCTGACTCAGCAAAGCATCTCCAGCCACTTGCATACCAAGAGGCCAAAGTGTAAGCAGGGAATTTAGAGCCCAAAACCTCCCTTGCACCTCCCAGCATCCTGGGATTCCCGTAAGCAGCTTGCAGGAGTGACTCAGCTGGCACACAGAAAACACCTGATGGGAAGCAACTGCACTGTGTGGGTACCCAGTTCTTAGTGCCCTCACAGTAATGGAATCCCTGTTTATTCTGGTTAGGTTTTGCTTTGGGGGTAATTGAAATTCAGTTTGCAAAGGCATTTAAGATGTATTACTAATACAAGTTATATTCTGTAAGAACTCATAGCTCAGGGACTCAGGTTCAGGGGCTAATTAAAAGACTGATTTATTTATAGCTCACCGGCTGCCATACAGTATCCAATGAAAATCCCTCTGTTTTTTAATAGTTTTAAAAAGTGAATGTACCCTTGGAGCACCAAAACTTCAGAGCACACAGCTCTGTTGCATCAGTTTTCAAATGGCAGACTCCAAAACTCACTCTCTGTGGCAAATTAATGTTGTTATATTTTAGTTTACTGTAAGCTGCATGTTTCCTCTGCCAGACATCCTAGAGCACTCAGCAGCTGTCCCCATGCTTGGAAATAAATCAGAAAGATACCCAGAGCTGAAAACAGCCAGAGAGAGGAACAGCCACAGAGAGAAAGCGCAAGGTGCCATAAAAAATTAAAGACAGAAACTCCCTAAAAGCAGGGGGTGGCCAAGCCTTTAGTGATGCCTTGTGAAAGCTGACCTGGAACAGAGGCCAGACAGAGTTAAAGAATAAAGCAGGGATTTATTAAAAGGCCTCAATGGATCCACCTTGGGCAGCACAAGAGCCCAGCCAGGGCTGCACCCAAAATTAACCAAAATGGTCACAAAATGGACAGCAGGTCATGGGGTCTCTCACTTTTATAAGTTCTATTTCCATATTGGAGTTTAATTGTCCATTTACAGCTTTAGCCCATGAAGTCCCATCCTTCTTGTTTTCTCTCTTCAGTCCACGTTGTTTATGCTTTTGGATCATTTGTCCTTGTTCCCCAGCTAGAGAAGGAATTGTTTTGTCTCCCTGCTCTGTGCACAGAGCTCACCATCCCCTCATATGAAGCCCAGACCCACACACTAAAGCAGCACAGAATCTGAAAAATATAAAAGCTAAACCCTGAGGCATCATTAGCACTTGAGCATTGCTCAGCCCTGGCTGGGGGCTCTTTATCCCTCTAGCACTTCACCATGCTAAAGACTGCAGTGCCTGGCACTCTGCAGTCCCACAAAGATGTTCAAATCCAACCTCTGGAGAGCCCTGCAGCTCTGCACCAAAACACTGCTCACTGGAGAGAAACTGAACTGCTTGAATGCTGCAGGAAGATTTAGGGTTCCCTGCTCCCCCAAAGGAGACACAGCACTCCAAGCAACATCCCAGTCTTTTCCACAATAACCTTGCTGGTTTTTTTTCCTCCATTTAAAGCAAACACAGCATTGTCATGAGAGTCCCAAGTGCACTTTCTGTTGTAAAAACATACATCTGCAAAGAAATCACATCAGTTTTGCAATTCCTCCTCTGGTTTCTTTGTCTTAAGCACTGCCCAGAAGGTCCAATTAACACCCTAAGAAACTCAGGAGGGACAGTGACCTCTGTACAAAAAAAGACCTTGAAGGAGAGAGGAATGAAAGAGTTGAGGGGCAAAGAGAAATAGAGGAGCTCACCACTGGACTGGCCCGAGCAGAGCTGGCTCTGGAGGATGCCCGAGATCCCGAACCAAGGTAGCAGCTGTACTCAGAAGGCTGCAGCAGGAAAACCAGGAACAGAAGGCAGAGAAAAGAGAAAGCCATTAGAACTGGCAAGGGAAGCAGGAGAGGATGTAGAGCATCACATCTGAAATTAGTTAAAGAGATGGTTACATGCAGCTGGACAAAGGAACAGCAGTGAAAAACAGAGAATTGTTAATTTGAAAATTAAAGCAAGCAGTAATTCCACTGGCAGTTCAAGTAGAGTTTTGACTCAATTCTTAGAATACTAATAATTTATTTATATCTCTTCAGGTACCAATGACAAGTAAACAATTCAGTTTTTCTACAAAAGCCTCGATCCTAATACTTTCCGAGAGCTCTGAGGCTCTCTGGTGAATCACTTTCCCATGTTCCCAACATTGTGCACATATAAAATGAAAGGAAGAAACATCCATCTATGAGGGGATTAAAGTAAAAACTGAGCCCAGCTCAGAGACTGAGTCTCTCTCCTGGTTTTCCAGCACCTGCAGTCCTCATCTCCTGCCAAAGAAAGTCTTGTAGCTTTTTTTGAAAGGAAACATCTAAGCAGAGATGCAGGACAGGGCTGGCTGGTTGCTGACAAGTACAAGGAACGTGTCCATTCTGTTTTACTTCCAGAGGTTTTAATGCAGTAGAAATGGAGCAGGGAAATAAAAGTTTAAAGCATCAGGGAAACAGAACTAAAACTTACCCTGGAAATAATGAGTTTGTTTCAGAGGTGATTAGGACTGTTTCTCAGATACAAACACACAGAAATCTGAAGAATTATTGCACTTTGGAGATGCTGTGGGTTTTTTCAGGGCTTTTTTTCTCTTAAGTCACCTGGCCACTAGAGGAACAGCCAGGCCACTGCGGGGCTGCTCCATCCTCATTAGTCACAGTAACACAGCAGCACAGCATCACCTGCAAATTAAGCTTGCAGCACTAATGAATGGTGAGAGGGTAAGCTGGAAATAACCCCAGCCAGAGCACAAGCACAGGGTCAGGCACTGCCCACAAAACATCCCGTGCAAGGGGCACAGCCCTCGGGCAGGGCAGTGCCCTCGGAGCACCCCGAGGGTGTCCAGAGCAGCTGGGGCTTGAATGCTTCCAGACATTCCATCCCTGGAATGGTCAGTGCTGGACAGGGCTTGGAGCACCCTGGGACAGTGGAAGGTGACCCTGCCCAGGTGGCCTTTAATGTCCCTTCCAAGCCCATCCATTGTGGGACTCCATGTCCTACGCTGGCTTTGTGCAGCTGATCTTCATTTCAGAGGTGAGAGTATGCACAGTATAAAACTCTGCTGCACACTGTTTCCAACTACTGCCAGTCACATAGTAATTCCTAAATTAAAGGCAAAAAGCACTGAAGTAAAAATACAGATTTTGTTTGGTCACTGCAGTGGTTTATGTTTAACAAAAGAAGGGTTTACAATAAATTTGAAATGTGTGACAGGGAAAAAGTTGTAATTACTAATGAGTCCCATATTAATGTTTCCAGGCCCTAGTTATTCCACAGCTGCTCCCTGTGCATTGCAGCCCTGGCTGTGGAAGTGGCTGTGACCAAGCAAGGCCACCTTCAGCCTCACCCCCTGCATCCACCTGCCCTTCCAAAAACATTTTTTGGGAACAGCCACTCCAGGTGACACTCCCTCTCCAGGTTAAAAGCGCTGCAAGGTTCAGAGGCATTAAAACAACCACAAGTGTTGTGACAAGGTCGCTGCCTCTGAGGCAAAGCCCTCCTGCTGCAACTCTCTCATTACTCCAGGAACTGGAGAGGCTGGGTCACACACAAATAAATACCTGTGGGTAGCGCAGGGTGGGATGGGGATGGAGGGTTTTAGTCCTCATGCCATTGACAGCCCGTAAAAGACTTGCAAACAGGTTTTGGGCTGATAGGTTTGCTGTAAATGATGTGAATCAGTGGCGTGGCAAGAGGATGGCACAGCTCTTGAAGGACTAACAAGTGCTCAGTAAGCATTCTTGAAAGTGTTTCCTCCTCCAAGCTAATAAAAATGTGATGTTTAATGTTAACATCAGTGCTCTGTCTCGAGGCTTTTCACTCCTATGGCCTTAGATGGTGGTTATTTGTTTGCTGGTGTTTTCTTGGTTGGTTGGGTTCAGGGATGAGAGGCAGAATAAGCAGTGGGCCCACAGAGGAGGACTGAGAAATCTAGAGATTGGCTTTTTTTCTTTCTTTTTTTTTTTTTTTTCTCCAGGTGGACACAACAGCAGCAGATGGCCCAAGCGCTGAGGAGATATGAAGGCATTTCTGCCTTTTACTCTGTAAATCAATTCCTGGAGTTTCTTTTTTTGAAAATAAACAATTTATATGGTTATTCCTTATACTGTTGCTCCCTATCCATGACAGAGCCCTCCACTCTCAAGAACACACATTTTGGAAGCACTGTCACATATATGAATGTAAAATACATTTGACTGTAAATCCAAGAAACAAAACCAAGCAACCCATCTATTCCCAAAAATCATTTACTTCACACTGCTTACATGGAACTGATTTTTGAATTTTTGGCTGATTACGTTTTAAACTTGTATTTTTCTCAGTTTTGACAAGAAGAATTAAGTCTCAGGGAGGGTAAAGGATTTCACGTATGGCCTTTCCAAGGTGTTTTATCTGCAAACCGAGCGCGAGGCAGAAGCGGATTCCCTGTCCCACAGAGGGATGAGTTCCCATTGATCACTGCTTCACGGAAGCTCGTGGTGCTCCCACTCCTGCTGCCTAGAGATGTCACACAGCCCAGGTGGAAGGCTCCCCAGCCCGGCAAAGGACAGAGACAGAGCAGGGAAAAGCAGAAAAGCTCTTACAGCGCGGGAACTGGGGGCACTATAGCGCCGGCTCCCACTGTAAACGCTCTCCTCGTACACAGAGGCCTACAATGAAAACACAGAGTCAGCACGGGCACAAACCCACCCAGCACCGTGGGCAAGGACAGGACAGCTCCTGGCTGCAGGCACAAGCAGCATGCAAGGGAAGAGCCAAGGAGACCTGACGTGCAGGATGTGACACAGCCCCGAGATGTGGCACCAGCCCTTCTCCCAGGGCTGCAGCTCGACTTTCATTTAATGGTTTGACTGCCTGTCCGTGAAATGGCTACATCAATTCTTACACTGATCCCGCGTTTCACCTGCATTGCTGCTGCTGGCAGTGATGAGCTTCACTTACCAGCCAGTTTAGTAAATTAATAAAAGAATAATTACTATATTTTGAGACAGACTCCGGTTTAGCACAGAGATATATGGCTCAGGAAACGCAAGGGGAGTAGGAAACTCTACCTTTAAGCTTTGAGAAAAAATTCTGAGAAGCTCATTTTAAACAAGAAGGCAGGAATTTGTCTAAAAAAAATAAATTTGTGGACAGATTTCTGTTAGTTGTTAAGCAACCAGCAAGAATTGATGTTGCCTCTCTGTCCTGCTCCCGGAAAGACACCGAGGAAGACAATTCCCTGGCAGCATCACAACCCCATGAGCACAATCCCAACAGGAATTAAAAGGAAGCATCAGCAAATCCAGGTGTGCATCACAAACAGCATCACACAGGTGGCATTCAGATGGATGGGACACCAGGGGCTGAGACAAATGCACCCCAGGGGAATTACAGAGAGAGGCAGGGGACAAGATGTGCATGGCTGGGCGTGAGTGGCTCTGGTGTTGGTGTTCAGAGCATCAGCACAACAAACCCTGTAACTCCTGGCTGGCAGGGCATCGCTGTACAGCAGGGAGGGCTGGGGGAGACAAGCACAACACTTTTTGTTTTGGCACAGTCAATTCAACAGAAAAAAAGGGGCCTACAGCAGAATGAACCCGCTCGGTGACAGATTAGGATCACTACATGACAACAGAAGGAAACCCAGTACAGAGAATATTAGTCATGTGCACCATGAAAGCATTAGATCTCTGCTCTCAAAGACTAAGAATACCAAGCAGGCACGTGCATTTCCTGCAGGAAGGGAGGACACAGACAGTATGCAAAAGCAAAACAGAAAATTTAATTTTAGGTTGTTAAGCTGTTATTGTCTCCCACGCATTTGTGTACAGGAGCCAGAACTGGGGTTTCTCCTCACTTCAACCAAAGCCAGAAACAGAGCTACACAGAAGTGCTTCAAAGTACATGCTGTCAGTGTTTCACACAGCTGTAAGATCATCTCCTGGATGTTTCATTATTCAAAAATGCAGAGAAAACCCAACTAATTCAGGAAGCAATTAGAAGTGTTTCAGTCAGAGCAGCCTGAAACATGTGTTAATATCCATCCCCCCCCAAAATGCAGAACTTAAACAAACCCAGAGCACTCTGTGTCTGGCAGAGCTGGGTGCTAGAGACACTCCAGCAGCGATCCCCAGCCCAGGGCTTGAGGCCAGGTCCTGCTGCCAGTGCCCCATCCACACCCCGTGCTGTGTCCCCAGGCAGGACCTGGAGCCCTGCTGGAGCTCTGCTGGCACCCAGCTCTGCCACACACAGGGGACAATGCAACCTCCCAGGGGTTTTACAGCTCCACTGATGTTCTCCCAGCACTCTGGGAATTGCTTCCCTGTAATTTTCTGTGGTGCAGACTGGATTTTCTCAAGCTCACCAGACCGACACGCCAGGCAGAGGAGCTGCCTCAAATAGAGAACTTCAGGTAATTAAGATTTCCCTTATCTCTCCAGGCCAATGGCAGACAAGGAAAGGGAGGAGCAGCAAAGGAAAACTGACTGTGCTCATTTGAAAACAGTTTTCCATTACTCATTCCAATCTTAAAAGGTCTGATTTGTTTGGAGCTTTTTTTTTTTAAGTTTCACTAAAAAGAGCTACAGAGACTCTTGACAATTGGTTCAAATTGATTCCTAAGTGCAAGAGGTTGTATTATCCAAACTAAGTCTAGGCCAGGTGAAGCCAGAGGGCAACAGACCCAATTTCCATTTTGGGAAGAAAGTTGAGATGTGGAAGCATAGCTGCTGTTGGGGAGACCCAGGTCAGAGTAGTAGGAAGCCTGCATTAACAAACAAAGAAAAAAAAAAAAAACAAACTCCTTGAGAACTCAGCTTCATTCTTTATTCCTTTAAATGGGAAGCAAAAAGTAAATTAAGTGAATACAAACTGCAAAGCAGTCAAAGTGGTCACAGATACAAAAAGAAGAGAGAACTGCATTAAAGCTGTGAGGATGTGTGAAAATTGTGGGACCTTTGAAGCACTGTAAAAATGCACTGGTCAGAGAGCTGATCAGCTTCCTCCTGACATCCTGAGGAGTTTATGTCCTGTAAGCTACATCCCCTAGGAGAAGGTGAGATGCTGGGAGATGGAGAGCGAAGCCAGGGACCAAAACTGCTGGCTGTGCCCAGCAGGAAGTGTGAGCAGCCCACTGTCAGATACGTCAAGACTGAGTGGGGAGAAAACTCCTCCAAGAAGTGAGACTGTGTCCATGAAACACCTTCTTTAAATCCAACACCTTCTCTTTTCTGCCTTGCATCCAGTCATCCCCACACTTTTGGTCCACTTTGGGGATCTTAATGAGAAGGCTTGTTCTGAAAGATCTCACACCTTCACCTCCTCTGCTGCTCTCCAGAGCTCTCCTTTCACACCTATTCCCTGACACCTTTCCAAACACTTCTCATGGGGGTCTAGACAGCCAAGGCTCTCTGCTTCCAGCAGTCAGCTCCTCACAAACCCTAACTCATCCTTGCCTCCACTGTGGTCCATGGAGGTGTTGATTTCCTCACAAAGGAGGGAGATCTGTGGCAAATTAAAGAAATTTCTTTGCTTTCTTCTGTCACTGCGAGCAAACAGAAATTTAGATCTGACACAAAAACCAAAGGTACAGGCTGAGAGCAAATCATTGTCCAACTTCAAAAAAAACCTAACCCAAGAAACAACCAGCCACAAACCAAAACCCCCCAAACAATGCCTGTACCATGAGACTTTGACTGAAAGGAAGCTTGAACTTACTTTAATTTAAAGAAATTACTTTCATTCCTGCTTAGAGTTTGCAATCTGCATGTGGACTATTTGGCACATGGCATTAATCATATTTAAGGGATCAAGCCATGACACTGCAAGTGCAGTGTGCACATGGAGATCGGTCCATTCTGACTTAAAACTGGACACCTATTTTGGAAACAGCCATTGCCAGCAGGTTCATTCATCATTTCCCTGCTGTCCTGAAGAATTTTCCTCTTTTTCATTTTTCCTTGTCACTTTGACAATCTTTAGGATTCAGCTTGGGCTTTTTGGAGAGAATATTCCTAAAAAGTGAGCGCCAGCCAGGCTGGCATCAATTTGGTTTGAAGTTTCAGCTATTCTGAGTTACCCCCAAACCTTCCTCCCCCTCCTAATTAATGATTAAACCAAACAGCAACTACAAGGAACTAACGATGCTGCTGTAATTAAGCCCTGCTCAGACTAAACCCCCACGCTGCAGATGCTAATTCCAGCATGATTTTAAATTATTTAAATGGAAACCAAACAACCTCTTCTCCCTGGATGACTTTCTTGCAGATATTTTGCTCTCCCTGCAGTCCTCGGAGCACTGGAGTATGTCAGTGAAGAGTAAGAACATCATTTATCACCAGTGCTACAGAATAAAGCTCCTTGAACTCCTCAAATGGGCCAGCAAGAGTGCCAGCAACAGGACAGGCTGTTTTCTCAGCAGCTCAAGCAACAGTATTTCGTTGTCTCTTATCCACATAATGCCAGCTAAATTATATGGCAGCAACAATTTTAGATGGACGTGAAATATCAGGTTTCACTGTTTATCCAGGATCCTGCTTAACTTCATGCCTACAAAGTAACCCCCTGAACTCTCTCTCATGTTCAGCGTGTTATTGCTCAAACACTTGGACAAATGGAGGCTTAAAAGAGTTTATTTTTGACCTAAACACTGAGCTTTAGGCTGCATACCACTAAATTTCTTTAGAAGCCCTGATAGCACAAAGATCAACAGGCTCTGAGCTTTTGTCTGGCTTTGTTAAAATAAAGGAGAAAAAAAAAAACCCCCAAACCCCAAACAGTTCTCCCTCTGGCCCCAGGCTGTGCTTGGACAACCCCTTAAAATCATTTGCACAATCCCCAACATTTAACAAAGCAGGGCCAGGAGCTGCTGTACTTGACACACAACACTTGGTTGTGCTGGAACAGGAGGGAACATTGTGACCTGCATCCTCACAACTGAGTTAATAATTAAGCTTTTTTGGACTAGAAATAAAAGTCCATCAATGTTAAGCAGTTAAGTGGGAACACTTGCACTGGCTCTTCAGCTCTGTAGGCGTTTCCAGAAACCCTAGGATATGGTTTATAAAGGAAAAAAAAAAAAAAAAACCAAACCAAAAAAAACCCAAACCAAGGGCATTTAGTTAAGCAAACTTCAAATAAACAACATGCATTTGGGGAAAATTCAAAAGCCAAAGTCCATTTTAACTATGCAAATCTCAAGGCATGGACTAAATGAGGAGATTCAGTACTAGAGCACAGCATGAACACCTTGCAGAGGTTGAAAAGCACTCATTCTCTTTCCAGCATGTGGAAATCCTCCCTGCCAGTGCTGCCACAATGTAATTTTTACCCAGTTTTGTCTACAAGTTAAAGCACTTCTGGCTCCAAGATCTTTCTGTACCAATTTCTGAGACTCCCCACTCAGGGCCTGATTTTTGATTTTTTATTTCCCAGATAGCTTCTTGCTGCACCTCCAATGCCTGACTCCAAACCCACAACATGCAAGACAGGTAAAACCTGCTTCACTGCCAAAAAGAATTTGCTAATTAGCTTTAATCCCATTAAATGGAGTGATAGAATTTTGTAGCAACAGAAATAATCTACTAACCCTGCTAGATTTTCTACTCTGGGATGATCCATACACGTCTTCCTCATAACCATTGGTCTGTTATGGAAGGAAAGGGAAAAAAAAAAAAAAAAGGAAAGACAAAAAAGGAGAGAAGAAAAATTGACATTCCCAAAGGGAATTTTTAAGCAAATGTCATCACTTCTGAAAGGCAAAGGCAGAGACAGAACTTTTCAAAGATACACCAGGAACAGGAGCAGTGCAGGACTGGGTCATGGTTTCAAACACGAGGACACGAACATTTGTGTCACTGCCTCCAGAACAGCCAGAAATGTCAAGGATACTCCTGCTTGCCCTTTTTGATCCCCCCCCGCCCTTTCTTTTTCCTTTTTTGCCTCCCCTCTTATTACTATATTCAAACATTATTCTATATTCAAACACTCTGTGAAGGGAATAGGGCACAAAATGGGGACAAAAAGGAGATCAGAGACTACAATAAAGGGCATATATCACTATAGCTATTTATACCTCAGGCAGCTAAACACCTAAAAAACAGCAATTGTAGTAGAGGCGTTAATTCTATTTGAGAAACCCAGCTTAGCAAACATGCAGTGCTGTATAAATTCTCTTCTTTTTGATTTTGAGCATCAGAATTAAACCATCTGCCACACCCCAGGATTCTGCAGCAGTCTGGGGGCTAGTAGGAGATTTGGGTGGGCTCAGCTGTCCTCCGTGGTGTCAGGAAGATGTTTTCCTTCAAAGGAGAGAAAACAAACAAGCCCAGAAGGACTGCTCCACGAACAAGGTGAGGTGCTTCAAATCCCTATGGCAGCAGTGCTGGGAATAAAAGAAAACAATCAGTGACTCAGTCCTGAGTCTGGGAATGCCGTGGTGAAGAAGAGAGGACAGACCCAAAAGTCTCCTCAATGGACAGCATTAAAAGCTCAGGTTTCCCCAGCAATTCACTGTTCTGGTATCACCTCACAGTGAGCCCTGGTTTAACACTGAAGACAAGGAAGCACTCTGTGTATTTGAGGTCTGAGGGTTTGGTGGAAATTTAATTAGAACTTCTATTAAAATTAAGTTTTGAAGTCCATGTTTTAATGAGTTCCCAAAATGAAAATCCACTAGAACTAATGTGAATCAATTTCCAAGAGAAATATTTTATCATCTACTATACAGCAGCTTGCATGAAAAATTAAACAAATTAACTTAGAAACCAGTTCAGAGCCAAGCTGGGAAAGCTACTTCTGGGAAAAGCTTAGATTCTCTATTGAAATGCAATACTATCACCCCAAATGGAAGGCAAACATCCAAGTTTCTTTTATTCAAGAACTGATTTGAAATACTGCTGAAGCCTTCTCACACAGCTTGGCCTCTTTCCAGTTTTTACCAGGTTGTTTTTTGTTGTTTTTTTCCAAGCTCCTTGAATTTCTCCAACGCTTAAGAATGGTTAAAATGGATCTCCAGCAGCTGAAGGCAATGCTCTGTGCAAACCAATTACCTCCACCACCCCTTTTATTGCTACACTGAGGACTTGTTTGCCTTTTTCAGCTGTGCAATATTGACTAAATGTAACCTCAGACCACTATCTGAACCATCCTATTACTTTGTAATGGTACCTTCATTTTTCCCAGATGTGGTATTCCCCATTTGTTTTTACTGTTATTCCATGTTGACAAGTTGTCTCCTGTTTATCATCAGTATTTTCACTCTAACCTTGTATGAAACTGCCTTCACTCCCTGCACTTAGCCAGCCAGGCAATACAGACTCCTAAAGAACTGCTTTTCCCTCCTTAAAAACCCCAGATGATGCTGTCTTAGCTGGGAACAGACCAGCTGAGATCCTTCCCAGCTGTCCTGTTCTGTAACAAAGTTATTTTCCAACTGTACATTCCTTTTACAAGAACGAGATCTGGCCCAAGGTTTCACTTAGTGTCACGTAGAGACAGCCAAGAGCCTTACAGTCAATTTACAGTAACATCCTTTATGCCCTGAAATAATTACCCTGCTTAGGACCTCCAGCTGAATTGGCTTGATGAATTTTCCACAAGCCCAGGGTAACTGGTTATCGCTTTACAGTTCAGGCCCTTCTCAAGGAATCTGCCTCATTTGCCCTGGGTCTCCCAGAGCTGAGCCTGAAGCCCCAGAGCTGAGGCCATTTCCCCTGCCCCTCTGACCCATCCTCTCCAGAAACCTCTCCAGTGCATATTTTTGAAGGCAAATGCTCCAGGCAGCTCTTGGAGAGCAGGGTCAGCTTTATCAGACCTCGCTGACCTTTGTTCTAGGCTACGTTTACATGCAAAGCATCTGACCCTCATGAAAACTGGAACAAATAAAAGTGCATACTAGGGAGGCTGAAATGACTCAGTTTTACTTTTCTCCCTTCAGTGACCCTATTTCTCTCTGCATTTTCTTCTTGCTTTTGACACACAAAGGAAACCATTTCTCTGTCCATTTCTGCTTTTTTTCACCTCAGGCTGTGGCTCATGCTGCTCCCTCAGTCTTTCTCTGTCCCACAGCCAACTTCCAGCCCTCAGAAAAATTCCCTGCTCATTTCCAGTGTAGCAAAGAACCCCAATCCAGCCTCCACCTGTGATGAGCTAAAGAATAAAGTAGGGATTTATTAGGAGGCCTCAATGGATCCACCTTGGGCAGCACAAGAGCCCAGCCAGGACTACACCCAAAATTAACCAAAATGGTCACAAAATGGACAGCTGGTCATGGGGTCTCTCACTTTTATAAGTTCTGGTCCATTTGTATATTGGAGTTAATTGTCCAATTACAGTTTTAGCCCATGAAGTCCCATCCTTCTTGTTTTTCTCTCTTCAGTCCATGTTGTTTATGCTCTTGGGCCTGAGATTTGGGTCATTTGTCCTTGGTCCCCAGCTAGAGCAGGAATTGTTTTGTCTCCCTGCTCTGTGAAGAGAGCTCACCATCCCATAATATGAAGCCCAGACCACACACTAAAGAAACACAGAATCTGAAAAATATAAAAGCTAAAACCCGAGGCATCAGTGTCCTCTTTGCCTGCCCAGAATTGCTTCCCATAAGATTCACCTATGACAGGGGGTGAAACGAGATGGGCTTTAAGGGCCTTTCTAACCCAAACCATTTGGGATTCTATGACATTCTCTCAACATTGCCTATTTCTTTCCTTCTTATTTCTGTGTCATGTTCCAGCTCAAGTCAGGTAGCTCCTGTAAGGTTTTGAGTTTTCCCACGTGTTCTTTATGCACAGCACTGAAATAAGAGTTTGGATGATCCCGCATTTTGGAGATGAACTGATGCTCATTATTGCCTAGCAAGTGCTGATAGCTGTGGTGTATCCTTGACACTGGGCTGGCAGCTCTCCCACCTGCACACACTCCTTGTCCTGCCACAGTGGCTCTGTAGGCAGAACCCTCTCTGAGACAGACAAAAATACATACTGCTTTGGAGTAGTTCTTCTTTTTGGTCCTCTCACTCTCTAATCCAGCCTGCAGTGGGATGAAGAATGCAGGGTGAGATCAGTGAGTGTTGCACACCCATGCAGGGCCAGGCATGCACATCCCCATGCAGGAAGAGGAGCAGAGCAGGGCTCAGTGAGTGCCCAGCAGCCGATGCACCCCCGGAGTCAAACGCCCAGTTATTAGGGAATATTGCTCAAATGCTGATGGCACTGTTAAATTTAGCAGCTGTGCTTCCAATCAGCCACGCTGGCTGGGCTCAGTCAATTCAGAGCTGCCAGCTGTCCATCCTGACTGTATCAATACAGCCATGCAAACACCCAAACGTGCTGGAACTATTCTGGGATGTAGGTCAGGCACAAATGGATGCGCTGTGCTCCTGATTGGAAATAGCGCCGGGAATGAAGAAGAGGGGAAAAGCAGGAGAATCTAGAGAACTGCACTGCCCAGTTTGCTTCCTGCAGACACCAGCACACCTCCAGTTCAACACAAGGCAGCTGGAAATGTTTTAAACTGAGCTTTAGTCCTCGTTGCCCCTTTCTGTTCTTTCAGGAGCAGCTTTATCTCAGTGTTCGCAGAGCAAACACTCGCTGTCAAAGCATTATTATTAATCTGATTTTGTCCTCTAAAGTGAAGGTAACACAAGCTGCAGCTTCAGTAGGCAGTGTGTTTATCCTGTCACCTTGGCTAGATCTGTTTACAGTGAGGTTATGAGAGTTTTATTCCTTTCCAGATCTGTGCTGAAATAAATCCAGACACGGCTGGTCCAACAATGGTCAGGCTTTAACAGAGACAGTGTTTTAGGGGAAATCCAAGCCATTCTGCTCTGCCTGTGGTAACTACTGAGCTAAACCCAGCTCAGATCTCTCTAATAATTTGTCACTTCTCATCTGAACTGTGTCACAGCAGGAGGAGAGAGGGAAGTGGCATCTGACATCACAGACCACAAACTGCCTCAGGATGCTTCCAGATCACCCTGATCTCAGAGAAGTTATCACAACCCGTGTTAGCTTCTTCTTCATGATTAGTTTTTGAATACACACACACACACACTCTGCAACTTGCAGACTGTTCTCACCACTGGGTAGGTGCTGGCATAATCCAAATGAGACTGTAAAGGTATGAGAGGAGAGGAAAATCAGAATACAAAGGAAAACACAAGTTATGTCAATCAAAGGAATGCCCCGAAACAAAACAAACAACAAACAAACACAAAAATAGGCAGGGAGATGTAAATCCCAGCTAAAGAACTTTGATAGTGCAGGATTTCTTGCACAAAGGCACAAGTTTGGAAGCTGGGAGGATACAAAACAAGGATGCACAAATTAATCGGGAGTGATGGATAACACAACAATATTTCATGCTGATGGTGTTGGATTAGAGACAGCCAGCTGGGAAGTGGGAGAACCAGGACAAATGAAACAGAAAAGGGACTGAAGAGAGGCTCAAGAGCCTCAACAAAGGCTGATGTTACTGAGCTTCCCTAGGAAAATCTGCCTGATACAGAACTGAGCTTGCAGAACTCCTGAAACAGGACTGGCAGGAGCTGTTGATGGGATCAGGATCACCAGGGAAGCTGCTGAAGAAATCTCTCCATGGAGGAGCCACAGACACAGCCAAGCCAGGACTGCCTGGACCCCTGTTCCCTGTTTGCAGCACAGCCACAGCTGTGGAGCCTCATTCCACTTGCTAGCCTGGTCTAATGAATATCTCTGGAGGTTCTGCAGTGTGTAGTGCTGCCTGCTCTGCCAGAAGCATCCAGAAGCTCCCCAAAAGCTACCTCAGCACATCTCTGGTGCCTGCAGTCCAGGCATCCACTTCAAAAATATTCCAGGAGAAAAGTCCAGAGTAAAACCACACAGATCAGTGAGGTGGTGAAGCCCTAGGGAGAAGTGAATGTCTGATATTGGCTCATTTCAGTGAAAACTTCCTGCACAGAAGAGAAGCAGAGCTGCAAGAAGGAAGCCCTGGCACCACCAGCCCCTCACAGTGCAAGGAGCCTGAGTGCCAAAGATGGAAGATGAATTTTCCAAAAATGGCATCCTGCAACAATGGAAGGAGAGCCTTCAAATATCTGAAAAGACAGCACCATTCAGAACTCTCCAAGTCATTTTAGTCCACTTAGTCCACTTCATGGACTCCAGGCATCTGTTTCTGATGCTGTCTTCAGGCTAAAACAGCTCCAAAGCCAAACTGGACACAAGAACTCAGGGGATTTCTTAAGGTTGGTCAAAATTTATGGGGCTTTTGGCTTTGTTGTTTTGAAGAGAGATGCAGCAAGAGCCAAACCTCCACAGATTGGCCACAGATGTGGTCAAATTACTACAAATTACATCGGCTGTAAATCCACACTGGGAAAGTGATCAGAGCGGCTGTGTACAAGGGCCTGGAGTGACAGGGAAGGAAAGGAAAGAATGGCTTCAAACTGACAAAAAATAGGTTTAAATTGAGTATTAGGAAGAAATTCTTCCATATGAGGGTGGTAAGGCCCTGGCACAGGGTGCCCAGAGAAGCTGTGGCTGCCCCTGGAAGTGCTCCAGGCCAGGTTGGACAGGGCTTGGAGCAGCCTGGGATAGTGGAAGGTGTCCCTGCCCATGGCAGGGGGTGGAACAAGATGAGTTTTAAGATCTTTTCCAACTCAACCCATTCTGTGATTCTATCAGTTAATTGTGAATAAAACAACTGGAAGACGTAGAAGGCTGAATTTCAGTTCAGACTGGCAAATATTTACATGCTTCTACAATCCCAGTGACACAAGAATGAGGCAAGGAAGCTCTGTCAAAACTTCTCCTGTGCCTGCCAAAGTGTCAGCACATCCACCACCAAATGCTGCTTTTTGGAGATAGGGCCTGTGAAACATCACTGAGAAACACCAGTGTGGAAAGTTTCAGCCAGATCCTTCTGTCAGAGAAGGACATTCCTTGCAGAAGTATGAGGAATTTGTGGCCATCCCACGGAGCAGCTGGAGGCTGCTGTTCACCAGGCCAGCGCTGGTTATCACAGCCTGATACTGCTCAGGGCGAAAAGGGCCAGAAAAGCTCCTCCAAGGCATGGTGAGGAGGCAGAACGCAGAGCTTCTGCTCTTTAGATGCATATAAACCCCAGGACTGTGTTGCAAAAACACCCCGGAAAGAATCAGTGGTGAATTTCCACTAAGAGATGTTTCAGATGAAGATGTGCTATAAACACAGAGCCAGTGTGTTTGCATCGTGCCACGTTACAGCCAGGGATAAACAACCCATTTGTGTTGTCATCACCTTCTAAACAGATAGAATTGATATTTCAGCTGAACTAGAGGTCTTTTCCCCCTCCAGAAAACACTTCCATATGTCAACATTTAACCCTAAGTAAAATAAACACTGCTTTTGACGTTCTGCTGTGCAGAGAGGCTTTTCTTCACTGAATCTTTGGAGCTTTGAGGCATCTCCTAGCTCTGAAAAGCACTCAAGTTTGTCATCTTGAGCAAAAAAGGTTTTAACAGCATTTCATGAGTAGCAATAAGGATTCCACTAAAAAGGGAACAAGGCAGCACTTTATGTTTTTAAGCACATTTTGTGCAACTTTACAGTGGGATCCCTGAGAAGGCTCTGCAGCAGAATTTTTTTTTTTTTAAATGAGTCTTTTAGACAGTATGTAAAAACAGAGTTAAGGTTTATATAAATGTGTGTTATCTGGGAAAATACTGTCTGGGCATTTTGTGGAAAAAACTGTTTGAACTTTTCCTGCAGATGAGTACTCAGTGCTTTACTAATCCCACCCTCCACAAAACTCAGGCCTGCATTGATTTTCAAGTATTTCCAAAACATTTTTAAAGCAAGCAGCCAGTGATAGGACCTAAGGGAACAGCTGGAGCTGTGTCAGAGGGATTTTTGGCTTAGATATCAGGGAAAGGATCTTCCCCCAGAGGGTGCTGGGCACTGCCCAGGGAATGGGCACAATCCTAAGGCTGCCAGAGCTCCAGGAGAGTTTGGACAAGGCTCTCAGGGATGGCAGGGTGGGATTGTTGGGGTGTCTGTGCAGGGACAGGAGCTGGATCAATGATCCTTGTGGGTCCCTTCCAGCTCAGGGTATTCTGTTATCTTATGAGTATTCACCTGCAATTCCAAAGTGCTTAACACTTATTTCCACTGATCAATCACTTCTGGTTTCCTGGGCTAATATAAACACTGACCCCACCAGCACTTCCCCTTCCCAAATTTCCAGCGTCAGGAGTGAAAAAGGGGAGCTCACAAGGTGCATGCAGACACCAATGTCTTGGCTAAGTCCTTCCTGCAAGAGCGAAGAGCAGTGACCACAAAGGTTCCTGCACGGGGCACACACTGGAGACAATCAGTGATCCACTTGAAAAAACCCGACATGGAACACGTCCAGGACAGTCCCCTCGGGGTGTGGGGGCACAGGGGGACAGTGACACCCACACAAAGACATGCACACAGAGGTTGCACAGTTTACCAACCCTCAGGCTTCCACGGCTACCCACTGACATGCGCTCATCTTCATCCGAAGCCTAGCGAGAGAAAGCGTAGAGACAAAAAAAAAAAAAAAAAAAAAAAACCAGTGAAAAGAACACAGGTAACAGGCACTGATGGCTTGGATGGGACAGGAGGAAGGGAAAGATGCACAAACTCCATGTTTTTAAAAAAGAATTGCATTGGAAGTGTAAGCAGAAAGCAAATGAAATCATAAATCATACCCTGCCCAAGAAACAGTCACGCATTTTACTGCAGGGTGAAGGAGGAGCTTGCTCAGGTGTTCCCTGCTCTGTGCTCTTGGCCCTTTAATGAACATTAAACACTCTAAACAGGTTATTTCCCACTTTCCACCCCCTTTATTCTTGCACATTTGCAAAAGCTCCCTGGAGTGACTGGGGAGAGGGCAGAGAAGTCAGGAAGTGGCTTTGGGGTTTGCTCTTGCCGGGGGTGGCGGGAGCTTGTTTTGGTTCCTTTTCTTTTGAGAAGGAAGTGCTTTATACACGTCTGTTTTCTTAATCTGAAACGTCTGGCTGAACAGAAAAAGCAAAAGCAGGTACTGACCGAGGCATTTCTTCGGGCTCTACGGGAATAACGCTCACTGTCTTCCTACCAAGGCAGCAGAGAGAAAACAGAGGGATGTGTTGAGAGGACAGACACAGCAACAGAGCCTTCCAGAAACACAAAGTGAACTCCAGCCACGCTCAGGAGCCAGTAAAGTTAAACCAAACAACAGGAGGTGACACCCTGTCACAGCAGAAAAACCCTTCCTCCCTCCTCTGAGACCCCAAATTTCCTCTCAGCTACACAGCCTCTGTGACACTGGAAATGCCATCAAGACGATTTACATTTCAACAAGCTGATTTTAACAAAATTTTAGAAATGAATTTAGAATTTAGAAACAGCAGTAGAAAACAGCAAAAAAAAAAAAAGTTTCAATATTGTAGTCAACAGATTGTCACAGGTGAGCTGATTTCCAAGCAAGGGAACTGCCAGTAGGATGGAGTTATGCTCATCCAGCAAGGATTTGAGGAGACTCAGTCTGGGGTGGGTGGGTGGTCCATGCAAACCAGTATTTACTGATGAATTATCAAAGACCAAGGAATTTGGGGAGTTTGGGAAGTTACCTTCTACACTGGGAGCCAGCTGTTCAGTTTTGCCTTTTCCAGTGTGCACTACTCAGCTTTGCAGGGCAAGGCCACAGCTTTCAGCTGGCACTGCTGGTAACTGCTTTCATAAACTTAGGGTTGAAAAACTTTTGAAGCCAGTGACTTCCAGCCCATTAGCAACTTCTTCATCTTCTATCATGGATGTTAAAACAGTCAGATGTTGCTAGTGGCCAAGTCGGCAGCTGGTATTAACTGGTTTTAGCAAATTCTAAAATCCAGGACATGGTATCATTGGGAAAAAAGTGTGGATTGCCACCATAGCAGTAATAATTCCTCTGAGGGATTCCCCTGGGCCAGTAAGTGCTAAGGGAAATGAAACAGCATGAGTGAAACTTGCCCACAATTTACGTGAAGGCAAATTTAAGAAGACTCAAGTGGTGATGAAACCCACAAAAAGTAAAATGAGCACAAATACTCCCTGTATCCCAAGGGGCTTTAACAGGTTTTTATCCTAACCTAATCTTCCAGCGATAGCATGGACACAGGTCTCTAAAAAGAGATGGCTCTAACCCAGTCCTTGCCAGTTTTAAGCTGATCAAAACTCACATTTCAGCTGGAAAAGCAGGACTGTGGGACTGGAGTGGAACTCACACTCCCAGTGCATGAAAATACCTGCTTGGAGGGATCTCAAACTCTATGAACTACACAGAACTGCAACACGCAAAAGTTGTTGAGCTACGTTGATCAAGTCCTACCATCCATTGCTCGATGTCTCCCCACTTAGTATCCAGCCCATAATATTTCTACAGACAGAAAAGGGAAAAAAACAGAATTTAGATGAGAAAAGCAAACAGAGAACATTTAGACATGCACTGCCAGGCCTTGGCCAAGCCACACATCTGCACATGAACATGCCAGTGAGAGCAGTGCCACGTGGCACCGGAGCCCTCTGCAAAGAGTGCCTGGGAAAAGCTGCCTGGAAAGGGGAAAGCAGAGTTTGGGCATGACCGGGGTGCTCAGCTGCTTCTTCTCCCTCAGCACTGCAAAACCCCCTGTGCTGGGGGACAGGAGCAAGGAGAGTAATGAGTCTTGAATTCCTGACCCAGTTAAGTCAAGACTCATTACAAGGGAGGCGAGCACAGGACACTTCCAGGATGAAAATTGCTGTCAAATCATGTTTCCCGTAAAGGTTTGTCAAACTGGGCAGACAAGTTGGATACAACTCATCTCTGGGCACCCTGATTTGCTGGATTAGAGCTCCACAGAGCTCCTTTCAGAGCACCAGGCTTTTTGCCTACGCTTGACCCACCTGAGAGCAGTGGCAGCACCAACAAGGGTACAAGAGGACAAGATCCACCAGGGCAGGCCAAGACGACCCTGGGAACTTCCCCGTGAACTTGAATTTCCTCCAGGCAGCAAGTTGTTCAAAGATCCACAGGTTTAATGGGACTTTTCTTCCTCCTCAAACCAGCCTGTCAAATCTGGTCTTAGGAATTTTGTGTTTGCAATAGTGTCCATTAAAATGATTCCTGTGTGAATTAAAATCATTGGCCTAAAGCACAGCAGTAGGCAAATGGAAATCCTGCTTAATGAAGGAAGAATAATACGCATTTTAGAGCTTTCTTACAGGCTTGAGGAGGCAGGAGTATCAACAGCCAAAACCTTAGGAAATTATTTAAAAAAAAAATCAAAAACCTCTTCTGTATTGCACTCTGTTTTTAGCACTCGCTCAATGGTATTAATGTAATTTTATTTCCACCCTTAAAACCTCATTCACTATTTATTGATAAACCAAACCAAACAACTTCACATTCTTCAGTGCTGCATTACTTTATTCCCACTTCAGATTCATAACCCATGCACCAGCTTGTTATAAAAGTAACTGTTATGCATTTCTCAGCCTGAGAATGACCCCTGAAAACTCCATGAACTCCCTGAGCTGTGTACACGATGGGAATCTACAGATTATATGCTTTGTAGTAAAGCAGGTCAGGTAAAGCCTTATTAGAGGCTTTTTAGCCATTAACAGACTGAGAACATTTTCTAACACTAGACATCAATTTAAAAAACAGAAACACACTATTAAAATGAAGAACCCTTTTTCACATATAGGAAGGCTTCATAAACACACTTGTAATTTTTTTAGGGTTTGCTGCTTCCTTTTCATGCCCTCTCACTGTCTGACACTGGCTTATGAATTCAGCCTTGCAAAAGGCAGATAAGGAAACAGTCCTTACAAGACTTGCTATGTCACAGTTTAAGTTCCACTTACAGGCTTTTCCTTCTCCATTTCAAATTACTCAGCTAAGTGCTTAACATCCCCTGAAGAAAAAATCTTAATGAATGAGACTGCCCAGAGACTATTTTAATTTATAATCTTTCAAAGAGCACGTGCCATACTGGACTGAACTGGCAGCTTTTGAGCTCTCAAGTATTTTGACCCCTCACAGCCACTTTTTTCGGTTCTCCCTCTATACCAACTCTTCTGTTCTGTGCCCAGGGGCCTGATTCCAATGAGTTGAAGGAGGAAATGCTGCTTTTCCATTCATTCAGGTTTCAGTTAGAGGCCCTTGCTGGACTCAGGTTCCCTTCCACCTTGAAAAGTGATATTACAATTCAATATTAATGATGTTAATACCATTGAGAGAGAATTCCAGATGCCATTTGCTCACTGAGCGCCAGTGAAACTGCCAGACTCAAACTCGCCATGGGATGTTGGGAGGATAACCCACTTATCTCCTCATCCATGTCAGGACACCAACAGTAAACAACCTCCTGGGCTCCCACGGGGCTGCTTCTGCACCAGGAGGTTAAATTAGTTCCCATAAAGAAGATTAATAAGGAGCCTGTCGATCCATGGGCTGACACTGAGTCACTCAGCGCAAAGTCAACTCCAGAAGTAAAACCAGGAGTGAGAGGGACTTGTTGCCAAATTGATGGGGTCAGGATTAAATACCAGAGCACATGATTTGAGCAGCTCTTTTCATATACATACACACTCAAAGAGGAGAACAGCACTCCCAAGAAGCACATGCAGGGCTGGGGCAGGCTTTGAAACATGCAGTTAGGGCAGCTGGAGTGCCAGAGCAAAACCAAGCACACTGTGGTTTAGGGAGACATTCATCACTCAGCAAGCAATAAAAACATCTCAGGAAAAAAAAAAAAAAAAAAAGAGAAATATTCAATAAGGTAGAAAATTGCAGGCTTGAAGAAAAATGTGCTTTCTCCCTCCCTGTAAAAATTCTTGGGAGTTATTTCTGTTCCTAGGTGCCACTCAGCTCACATGCTGAAAGTGTAGAACAGCCAGGCTGTTATATTCATTTATTTTCAGATGTCTGGCTGCTATTTCAAACCCCAAAATCTCTGTTTCTACCTAGCAAGTGACCTCAGTTAGAGCTACTGTTATCATCCTCTTTGCCATCATTGTGGAAAGGAAATTGGGAAGAGGGAAGAGATCATGACTTTAAACTGAGATGAGACAGGATTGAACAATATAAAATCACTTTTAATGTGTGGGTTGAAGGCCATAGAGTTTATTTACCCAAGGATTATGAATTCAAATACCACATCCCTGATTTCCTTCAGTGACTTTGTGCAAATAAAGTCATCTGCAAGTCATTCTTCCTGCTGGCACCTGTTAAATGCTTGCCCAGCCTGAAACATTCCAGTGATTTTCTTGGCCTTCAGCACACGGACAGAGGTGACACAGGGAGCCACTGTGCCCTCCTGTGACCCTGCTTTGCCAAGTCACTTCTCTGTTATTGCTTATCCTTTGCCAAACAGGCTGTAAAAAAAAATCACATTAAGTGCCTGACCAGACACCTTACATGGGTCATCTTCCCCCACTCCCCTTGACTGTCCACTCCACAACATTATGGGAGGGGAGGGCAGAATTACATGGAAATTTGCAGCCTGCTGGGCATCTCCCACTCTTCAGAGGATTTCCAAGGTTGGACTCGAGGATCTTGGAGGTCTTTTGCCACCTAAATGGCTGTGTGGTTGTGAAATTGTAGCAAGACTCACAGGTGGGAAGAAAAGGCATGCAAACAAGAAGGAAAGCGAGCAAGCCCTACCTTCTGCACCTGATAGATCTGGGGGGAAAGGGAGAGGAAAGAAACAAGGAACAAAGCTAGCATGAATGATGGATACATAGCAATGCTCCACAGCTCGTTCTGGAGGGAAAAAACAGCATTTACAGAGAAAACACAGCAGAACATCAATACAGAGAAGAGCACAGCGAAGCCCTGTGGATTTAGGTAGGACAAAAGCAGTGTTTGCATCGTGGGCCTCCTCCACGTGACTGGCTAGAGCACAGCATTCCTGTTCCCATTCCCACCAGGCTCTGGGGTGCACATGGGACATTTTATCACCAGGCTTTGCACCAGGCCAGAGCCCAGTCCAGCTGTGAGCCACGACCTTCTATTTTTCCAGCCTTCCCTCCAAAACAGGAATGGATGCTCAAACACCCATCCGGGACGAGTTGTGTATTTACCACCACAACAAAAGCAAACAGCATTAACTACAGACCAACTGTTCCTCTTTGGAGGATAGAATTTGTCCTTGAGGGATGAAGCACAGTTACAAAAGCACCAACACCACACACCTCTCACCTGTGCACAGCACAGTGCCAGTGTGTGAAAATTCCTGGAAAATTCCTTGCACATATATTGCTGCCCTTAAAGGATCCCTGCAGGTTGTTCTGTCAGTTTTTAATGTTTCTGGGGAGCAGAAACACTATTCACACTGTTTTCAGGCTTTAATAAATATCCTGCTGACACTGTTATTCCACAGTCTTGGAGCACTTTGATAAGACACAAAACCTTTACAGCCACTCTACTGCACCTGAATTTTGTGCTCTTGGAGAACTGTCCTTGACGGATGAGCTTTGTGAATCCACATGAAAACAGAAAACAGGTTTTTTTCTCACATCTTTCCTGAAACCAGGAACGTTTCTGATTACCTCAAAGAACTCTTCTTGTTAAAAAACACCTGGCTGGCTGCACAATCCTCTGGTGGCAAGGCAGTCAAGTCTCCCAGATTTTGGGGTATTTGGAGGATCCCTGCCATTCACTGCTCTCAGGGATATGTCATGGGAACCTGGATCCCAGTGCTGGGAAGCAAAGCTTATGTCTCCCAATCCCTGCCCTCCTGATCAGGTTCCCCTTCACAAAGGACAACTGCACAACCCAGATTAATGCCTCAGCAGCTTTAATTCCCATTCCAGCAAGCACAGGAGGGAAAATTAGGACCCATTTAAAAACCAGCACTCCCACCACACAAGTAACCACCCCACTTCCCTCTCCCTAAGAAAGCCATGAAGAGGAAAATGAACTGGGCCCTCCCACAAGGCTGTACACAATTCCAATTTCTGGCTTCTCCACGGCACACTCGGAGTGCCTTTCATCCACACACAGGAGTCAAACACCTCAGGTTCAAATGTGGCAATTACCACACAGCTGACTGACCTCAAAGCTTTAACTTTTCTATTCTGTTTTTTTCACCCACTCCTCGAGGCAGCTCCATGGAATCCTTATTTTCCAAAGCCCAGTGCTCCAGGCTTGGCACAGCAGGAGCTCCCTGCTGAGTCCAAAGCAAGGCACGCAAGGAGCCTCGTGCCCAGGACCCAAATTGCCAATGGACAAGACAACAACGGGGCCCTTGTTGGGGCCAGGCACTGTGCAGGGAGGTGGGGAGGCCTCAGGGATAAAGCCAAGTGCATCACTTAACTATTCCAGCTTTTAATAAAACCTGGAGTTTTGGAGGAACCCATTAGCCAACAGCTCTGCTCCAAAGTGACTGATTCTTCAGCAGTGCACGAGGGAAAGGTGGCCCTGTCCATGGCAGGGAGGCTGGAATCGGGGCATTTTTAAGGGTTTTTCCAACCCAGGCCATTTTAGGATTCTGTAATGACATTGTCCTCTTTAGAAAATGTGGTACAAGAGAAAACATACACTTTTAAACAATCACCTCTGTTGCAGATGTGTCCCCCCCCAAAAGAGTTAATACAGATCTAAGCAGTCAAATGCCTTAAAGAGGAGTTTCCTATATTAGGGTATGACCAAAAAACCCAAATGTGTTTTACCCACATTATTAACAGCAGACAGCTTTCCTGATTTCCTCATCAAAGGAGGCTGCCCACAAAAATAAAGTTTTTCATAGAAGTAGGTTTAAAACTGGACAGGAAAAGCCAGTGTTACATGGTGGCAGAAGAAGAGTCTGCTAAAAACATCATCTGCATCATCCCTCTTCAAATTTTCCTGGGCATCTTCACAGTGAGTGTATAAGACACAGATGAACCACCACAAACCTCCTTCATTTCTTCCCTGCTTATGTAAGCACCAAGTTTCATAGTCACTCTCACCCCTCCCCATTCGAGCCACAAGAATCTGCTTTTCCCTTTTTTTTTTTTTTTTTTTTTTACTAGAAAGCAGTGGTAGTGTATTTTATTCCAAAGAAATATGAATCCAAAGGGGGAAAAATATGTGCAAGTGAGGTAAGGAAGGAATTTACAAAACAGCCAAGGCAAGTTTCATGCTGAGCCCTTAAAGCAAGTGCTGCAAATGAAGGCAGGAGACCAGCACAGTGCACTTGCCTTGAACCAGAAGTACAGGCTCATCTGCTGTGTGAACTGGCAGGGAAGAATCTTATCCCACCGATTAAGGAGTGGGAGGAGATCAGTCTCTTTTCACTTCAGGCACTAATATCAGCTTACACTGTGGTCTCCAAGTGTCAGCCCTTGAAGAGACATTTAAAGCCTTGCCAGCAGAACACACAGAAGGCATTCCTACAGAAAGCATTCTCTACAATTAGCCCTATTGCTGCAGCTTTTATGTCTCAAAACTGTTACTGTTAAATATTGCCTGGGAAAAAAAGGGTTTAATACATTTCAGGTCAAACTGCTGAGAGAAAAAAATAAATGCAAAGGAAAAAAAAAATTTCTTCCTCCAATTTTACCTTGTAGCCCCATGAGAATTAACAAATTGTTACTCAGAAAAACTGGGCTGCCCACTCCTGGCTTGCTGTTCTGCATGAATTAACAATAAATACCTGAGTGCACACAGGAATTTGTCTCAGGACCAGGCACATCTCAACAGTACAAGCCAAAGAGACTGGCCTCAGACTCTGCAGCTGGAAACCAAATGTTTCAAAAGCATGGCAGCATGGTATGGTAAACCAGGACCCATCACTGCTCTGACTCCCACCAGTGGTGGGAAACCAGGGAAGGGAGGAAATACCATGTATTTTAATTGTCCTTCCAGCTCAGAACAGGCCCTGGCATTGAGCTGCCCTGCACTCACTGATGTGTGGAAGCAAACCAGAGAATTTAAGCAGACCTCCAGATTAATTATTTACATCTTTGGTGGGTAACAACTACAAAGCAGCTCTGAACGAGAAGTCAGAAGCACTCAAGCTGTAATGCCTGTCAGACCTGTGCCCTTCCTAAAGCCTCATCACCAAGAACACATTCTCTAATAAATATACAAATTGATTCACGTCTCTGTGATTCAGGAGTGACCAACACCCTTATCTTCAGAGGGACTCCCCATGTCCTGAGCTGATCCCACAGTGTGGGCAGTAGGACAGGGGAGAATTCTGCCCCTCTGCCTTGCTCAGGTGAGACTCCCACCTGCAGAGCTATTGGAGAGAGTCCAGAGGAAGCACCAGGATGATCAGAGGGATGGGGCAGTTCTGCTGTGGGGAAAGGCTGGGAGAATTGGGAATGTTCCAACAGAAGCCCCATCCAACGGGAAAGGTGGTGCAACACTGTTTACAAGGGACTGGAGTGACAGGACAAGGGAAATGGCTTCCCACTGGCAGGGAGTAGGCAGACATTGGGATATGATATTGGGAAGGAATTCTTCCCTGTGAGGGTGGGCAGGCCCTGGCACAGGGTGCCCAGAGAAGCTGTGGCTGCCCCTGGATCCCTGGAAGTGTTCCAGGCCAGACCTGGTTGGACAGAGCAGCCTGGGCTAGTGGAAGGTGTCCCTGCCCATGGCAGGGGGTGCAACAGTTTAAGTTTTAAGGCCCTTTCAAATCAACACATTCTGGGATTCTGTGATCAGGTCATGATTCTTGTGCTCGCTTTTTTCTTCAGCTTCAGAAAACACTTTTCATGTACCCAGTTTACACTTCCCTATGAAACTTATGCTCACCTTCTCCTCTTTAGCTTCCCCTCCTTGGAGGAAAAAAAAACCACTGGCACAGTTACCCTTCTTTGTGCTGCCTGGCACGAGGTGGTGCCAGGTGAGGAGATGATCCTGCCTCTGGAGCACACCTGCAATCCTGCCCCACCGCAGAGCAGTCTTCCACAGGAACATTCCCACATCTCCCCTCAACTGAGAGCTCTCTGCCAAAAGCCCAGCTATTCCTGCTGTACAATTTCCCAATCATATGTGTAGACTCTTCATGCAAAAGTCACCCAACTACTTTAAAATGAGGGAAATGAAGTGCAAGACTGAGAAATGTCATAAATATGAGGTGGTGCGCAGGAGAGGAGCCAGTTTCCAAACCCAAATCATTAAAACACCCTCTTTCATTGCCAGAGTTATAGCCTGTAATGGTAGCACCTGGAAACTTTTAACTCAGACCAGCAGTGTAAATATATTTCCAAGTAATCCATGCTCCACAAGAAGCCTGCCAGGGCATGCACATGGCTTAAAGCATGAAAAACTACACGCACACGCAATAAATTCATTTATTGCTTTTTAACTCCCAGAAGGGAGTTAGGGCTCTAAAAAGCCTTCTGAAGTAGTAAAGCAAGTGCTTTAACTTCTGGTTATTTAACATGGCAGCAGTGGAAAAGCACTCTTTATGTTCCTGAAAAGTTTGTGAAGGGAAATGAAGATGGCAGAGAACCAGGTGTACAGATCCCAGTGTCACAGCAGGTTCCCCTCCAAGGAGGGGACAGGTGCCAAATATCTTGTGTTGATCACTGCTTGGGATTTTCTGTATTTATGTTTTATTGTACCTGCAAGGCACTTGTGGCAATGAAAAACTTCCTGCAGCTATCCTTAATATCTCTACCTGGCATCTGGGGGCTAAGATTAAACTATTTCAAAAAGTTACAGAATATTCAAGCTCGTAAAATATTAAATAAATGTGTCATTTATGCCAGTGAGTTACAAAGCAGATTGTGATGGGTATCTGGCTGAGCTTTCAATGACTGTGGTATTTCAGAGGGACATCCTGCCCTACCCAATTTCTATCTATACAAAGTTTTCACAGGTTTTCAGATGACAAGCTCTTAATTGCAGGACCTTTAGTTTTCACACCTAAATTTCAGTTTACCAAGACACCCTTTGCAGCATCAGCTTTTAATCTGCAAAGGGGTCATCAGCTTCATTAAGTCACCTGTAAATTAGATGGTGTCAGCTGCCAGGACACCCCTATTTACTGTGCTACCCAAACAAAACACGTGGTGCCTGTTTAGCACAGCCCTCCCACGGCTGCTCCCAAGTCCCCCCGCCCCGACTGCCAGCTCAGCAGTGACAGCACTTCCCAGGGTGGGCCAGGCTGCAAGAAACATCCTTCAGAAAGCAGCAACTGCAGAAGGCTCCCACCTTCCCCAAGCTCTCTGTTTGCAGCAAGGGAGCTGAGACACATCCAGACCTGCCTCACCAAAAGCTGAGCGTGGGCAGCCTGCCCAGGAGCTTCTCTGCAGGCTGGCTGCTGCAGCCTGCGCTGGCACTGCTCTGCTGTCACATCCTGAGCCACATCCTGCTGCCACCTCCTGATTCACTGCTCCAAAGCTCAACCAGATCCTGCTCTGCACCCTAAAGCAAATGTAGAACCACTGAATGGCCTGGGTTGGAAGGGACCTTAAGATCATCCAATTCCATCCCCTTCCATGGGCAGGGACACCTTCCACTATCCCAGGTTGTTCCAATCCCCATCCAGCCTGGCCTTGGGCACTTCCAGGGATCCAGGGGCAGCCACAGCTTCTCTGAGCACCCTGTGCCAGGGCCTCCCCACCCTCACAGGGAAGATGTTTTCCCTAATATCCAATCCAACTCTGTCCATTGTCAGTGTGAAGACATTTCCCTTTTTTCCTGCCCCACATTTATTCTCAGTATGTATTCCCAGACCCTGCCCCCAGACTCCCTACTTCTTCCTTCTCCTTCAAAAATCTACTGAAAAAACTAAATCGTGATTACTCTTGTAATCACAATTTGTCCCTCTTGCAGCTACTCTGCTGCTTCACTGAATGCACATCACCCAGCACAACTTTTGAGAGCTTCTGGTTCAGTTCACCAGGTAATGCTTTGCCAAGTGCAGCTTCTATCCTTGTCCCTGCCAAGAGCAGCCCACCCTTTTTACAAACTTGGGGACAGCATGGGCACCAGCTTCAGAGCAGGAAGCAGAACAACTTCCCAGTGGAGTTATACAAAGGCCAGGAATTTTCCATATTCATTGGATTTCTAACGAAGTGATAAGAATCCACCGCCTCTGACAGGCACACAAAGAAGTTGCATACTTCAAAGTTTAACATTAAACAAGAATTACTAACCACCAGGATTTTCTGTGAATAATTACGCTGGCTTCACCGAGATAAAATCCTTGCCACGATCCGCGTTTTTTCCGGGTTTTTCTATGATCAACATTAGCTCCACGCAGACTATTTCAGCAAAATACAGACGAGCCCTCTGTTCCAGGATCTCTGAACATCCTCCCCCCTGGATACAACCCAGGCACCCCCCAAAGCCTCGGCCTTACCTCCTTCTGCTGCCTCTCCAGCTCTTTCATCCGGATCTCCCGCGCCTCCGCCCGCGCCGCTCGCTTCGCCGCGAGTCTGGCTTCAGCCTGGGAACGGGAACACAGGGATGGGATGAGATGAAAGCTGGGCAACCCAACGGGGAACACGCTCCGGAAGCAGGGCAGGGAATGGGGAGGCTTGACTCGGCAAGGCTGTAAACACATCTGTAGGAGTTAATTCCCTCTTGCAGGTAATGGCCCTGCCTTCCCTAACTTGTTATCGTAACAGCGAGGTAAAACACCCCCGTGCAGGCACTACCCTCCCTGAGCACACTTGTGTTTAGAAGAGATCTTTAATTATTATTTGTGTGGCTGGAGAGGAAGCAGGTTGATTTATTTCAGAAAGGCAGGTTTTGCTTTTTTTGTTTCGGGTTGGTTGTTTGGTTTTTTCCCTCCCCTGCAGCGTGGATTGTTTTTTTTATTGATGAATTAATTTGACCAACACCAAACACATTATGTGCCATTTTTCCTAACCACTGACACTGTGCACACATACCTGGGCACAGGATTTGGGTAAACACTGGAGTACAGTATGCACAGCTAAGGCTGAAATTATGGAGAGAAAACGCACTAGCTCCATTATAAATCTCCAAAATTCCATATTCCAGTCCAAACCTTGCTGGAGCGGAATTCTGCCAAGAACGGACCTCTCGAGAGATCTACAGTGCTTCCTCACTTCAGCCCAGTTGGAAGGGATGGGACATCACTTATAGAGTAACATTTTTAATATTCTGCTTTAAATCCCAGGCAAAGCCAGTAGGTCTTACAGAGGAAAAAGTAAAATTAGCTCAGGCTTGGTCCAGTACAGCCGTGAGCAGCTCACCCAGAGGAATTCAGAACAGCTCAGCAGGGAGCCAAAGGCACAGCTCACAGCCAGTCACCCTGGTGTTACACCCAACTCCTCTGCTTCTGAAACCTTTTACTGTAAGTGCAGCATCCAAACTGACAGGAAAATCTGCCATAACATCAAGGTCAAGCACACAGAGAAATCAAAACAGTGTTTTCAGTAGCGCTTCTAAACAAGGAAAACTGTCAAAAAATAGAAAGGTGTAATTTCTTTTCCCTTCTGTAAGTGCAGTCACCACTCAAACCCAGGGAAAAGGGTCACAGCCTCCAAAAACACAAACAAAACATGGAAAAAAAAGCCAAAAGAAAAGAGGAGTAGGATGGTTGAAACTTGCAGTTAACAGAAAAGGGCTGAAGAAAATCAAGCACGAGCTGATGCATGGGAGGACCAGGAGCTTGTGATGATGTAGATCTTAAAACCACAGAATAGAGGAGACCAAGAGGAGATCTCACCAATCCATATAGATCCATACAAATATCCCAAAGGTCACCAAGAGGGTGGTGCCAGACTCTTCTCAGTGGTGTCCAGCTGCAGGATGAGGAGCCATGGCCATGAACTTAAACCACAAGAAGTTCCACCTCGCTACAAGTGAGAATTTCTGTTCACTGAGGGTGGCAGAGCACTGGAACAGCTGCCCAGGGAGGCTCCCTGTCTGGAGGCATCCCAAACCCATCTGGACATGTTTCAGTGTCACCTGCTCTAGGTGACCCAGGGGATTGCACTGGGACTCCAGAGGTCCCGGCCAACCCCAAATGTTCTGTTACTCTGTGAAGTCTGAAAAATCACTTGTAAAAAGGAAACAAGTCTTCTGAGAGAATTAAAGAAAAAGCCCACGGCAGAAAGAGCAAAGGGCTGGTTTGGCACAGAGCTGCTCTCCCTTGAGTTCTTTGCCTGAATTTTGAGGTAAGTGGCTCTGCCATGGACAGAAACTCGTAGTAGGAGCAGACCCTCCACACCTGCACCCAAAACCATCCCCTCCCATAACCTGTTACTTACAGAGCCAGGTGACAGCAGGCTCCAGGTGCAGGCATGAATCCCCAAAGGTGTTTTCAACAACACCTCCCAACCTGAAGCACTCTGTCCAGGAAAAGAAAGCCCCAGCCCTGCTGCTGCTGCTGGTCAAAGCCTGGGTGGAACCCCTGGCAGGCAGTGTTGTGACCCACCTGCAGTGTTTGGAATTGCTGATGACACCCACTACCCAAACATGCCCTGAAATGTGTGCTGAAGGCACGAAATCACAGCTCTGGAAACAAGCCTGGTATTGACTTGATCCTGCGATCCCTCCTGTTTATTTAAAAATAAACACTGGCAAACCCCACCTGATAGAGGTGAGGAGTAACACCAGCACAAACTGGTTTTTCCCTATGGAAAACAAAGGGTCCTAAAGTCTCCATAAGCAAAACACACCAAACAGTACAGGCTGTGTATCCCCAACTTCCCTCCCAACAGAAAAAGGCAGAAACAAGATTATTTGGATGCTAACATGATTGTAGCTGTCATCCTCATGAATTTCAATAACCAGCTGAGCTTTCACATCAGAGCTAGGTGCCTATATGTAAAATTCAGATATAATTCAAATGATACATATTTCCCCTTGTTTTCCTTGTACAATAAGAGCCAAAGGATTTACACACTTGCTAGCTATGTTGCAGAATTATATATTCTCACGGAAGCAAGAACAATATAATATGAAGTGAAGGAGCTTGAAAATAGGAAAAAAATTTAAAATTTAGCCAGTTTTTCTCAGGCCTTCCTGAGAATGTGGCTCACAAGTTTCTAAATTACAGATACCAGCTGCAGGAAGTTAAATGAATTTTACTTTGTGCAAAACCACACATTTTGTGTGTCATTTCTTAGGAAACAATTCTGCTTTTAGTGCCAATCCATGGTGCATCTCTGCTTTATTCTATTTCATCTTTGCAGCCCTCCAGCTGCCCATTTAAAGCCAACCTCCAAATCTTGTAAGAATAAAACCACATTTTCACTCAGCAGCTTTGACTAACAATGGCTTACATCTTGGAACAAGCATATTGTTTATTTATGAACTTTTTCTTTCCATGACCACGTCAGCCTTAAGTATCTTTGAATACAAACAGAAACAGTATCCTGGGTTCTTGAACTTTAGGCTAAAAACCTGTGGTTATCACAGACTGGTACCTTTGTAAGAAGTCATCGAGTGTTATTCCATCCTGAACACCCATATTTTAGAGCAACTCATTTTCATCACATTGAAACAAATAATTACAGGATTGTTTGGGCTGGAAGGGACCTCAGGAGGTGTCCAGTCCACCTTCCTGCTCAAAGCAGGGTCAGCATCATATTCGGATCACACTGCTTAGGGCTTGGTCCAGATGGCTCTTAAAACCCTCTGAGTTTGGTGGCTCCTGTTCCACTGCCTGACCATCCTCATGGAATAAAGGAATAAGTTCCCACCAAATCCTGCTCTTAGCTCCTTAATAACCCCAACTTCTCTGTCAGAAGGCTGCTGTACCTTAAGGGCTGCATCAAGCACTAAGGAATATTTTCAAGCACGTTCTCAAGGATGTCTGGGTGCCATTTAGATGATTACACAGTTATTTTCACCGTGGTTCCTGACCAAACACCAGCTCATTTGTGCTGGACAAAGGAGGGTTTGTAAGAAACAGGCCATCCTTCCCTAAAGGGTTTTTGAGCCCACGGCAAAATGAGAGAAGGGAGGGGGGGACAGGAAATATGCAAAGAGGAGAAAAAAAAAGGCTTCAGTATGTGAGGCTACCCACAAGTCTTTGGAGGGTGTTCTCCAGCTCAACAGAAATACATCATGCTATAGTCAGGCCAGCCATCAAATGGTCAACCTGTGGCCTTCACAATCCCATTTCTAGCATGCTTTGGTGGATGGAATTACTTAACTCAGAATGAATTTTTTTTAATACTCTGTAGATGGCCTTGGTGATGAAGCTGGTATCACCTGTGAGCTCAGAGGAAGTAAATCCATCAGGACAGGGAGGAGTCCACATCTCGCTGGGTAAGAAATTATCAAAGTCAAACCAAAATCTGGTAGCAAGCCTAACAAATCCTGCAGTGAGTGTGGGAGCCTGTTGCACACAGCTTTTCCTGTGCCAAAGCCCAGCTCAGGTACAGCGGGTGCCCCCCAGCATGGCACAGGGCAAGGACACCCAGAGCAGCCCCAGCTGCTCAAGCTGTGAACCTTTAGGGCATGTAAGAATAAAAACACAGGCCAGACTTTCAGACAAACCCAGAGGAGTGTCAGATTTATCGTGGGCCTCTCCTCAGCAGCACGGGTGTGACGGAACGCATCGGGATTTGTCAGACCACACTCTCTGAGCCTCTTGGACTCTGCTCTGTGCTATAAATACCTTGGTTTCTTGCACAGCCTGCAAGCAGCAACGCTAACTTTACATTCTCTCTCTGTGCTGACTAAACCAAAACAGGCTTTGCCTGGCTGACTTTGGTCTTTGTCCAGCCCAAGCACTTGACAGAGCCGAGTCACCTCTAAGGGCAGTAGCAGAGACACTACAGCCTGCAAGAGACACTGCTGAACATGAGAAAACCACACAAAAATTCACATACTTCTGAAATTCAGCTTACTAAAAGCTGTTCGTTAGGCTGCCTAAGGCATAAATAACTGTTCAAGGGATGAAAGATTAAAAAAAAAGAAATTAGAAATCACTAAGACTGAAGAAGTCCTCTTGACTTCTTAAAATCATCTAAAATTCACCAGTGACTCAGCAAGCAATACAGGCCTCAATCAAAAGTGACAGATCACTGTCAAAAACAGAAGAATAAAAATATGAAGCCTAATTGCACTCATTACAAAGCTTTTGCAACTTCCCTTTTATGAAATATTGCTCATCTGACAAGAAGAACTGGCAGCTTCAGGCCTACTGAGCATGTCATACCAATAAAACCCAAATCTCATCAGAAGCTTCTGTAAGGCCCCATGGGCAAAACGAGAGAAGATGGCAACCAGGCTGCTGAGATGAACAAGGAACTGGGCACCAGCTGAAAAATCATCACCTTAATTTATGGGACTCGCTCAAATACTACAAATACACACGCTGAATTCTTGGTTTTTTATTGCAGTTGCTCAGAATGATTTACAGTCACCAAGCCCTGAAAAAAATGCACTGCTGAACTCCAAAATGCTTGTTGCTTTTGCAGGGCTACTTGCTCAGCACTTGACACTCCAGCTTAGGGTCAC